TTAACTGAGGCCTTGAATTCACCGGGACCTGTGAATCAAACTGACAGAAGACAAGTTAGTCATTTTATTAATATTTAAAGTTTTATGTGTATGGGCTTCACAAAAAAGAAGTGAAAAAGTCAAAGAGCAGACAGGTTTAGGGGCTTACATGCTATTTTAATAAAGGGTGATAAATTGTGGAAAAGTGAGTAGCAAAGGAAAGGGGATCTGGGCTTCTAGAGCTGCTAAACTACAAGAGTGAGTAGAAAATACCTGGGGGTAGGTTAAGATATTTTCTAATGGAAGATAAGATTACTTTAGGAAGGTCTGCTCATGCAGACTCACCTCAGCATTGACTCCTCTTCTCCAGAGACAGGAGTGCTCTCCTATCCTCTCTTCCTGGAATAGGGACTGTGCTTTTTTCATAGGAGATTTATGCCCTGCTTTCACGCAGGTAGCTGAGAGCTCTTCCTGCGCCTGCTGTTCCTCAGTTGCCTTCAGCTCAAAACAATGGATATGCCAAAGTGGCATATTTGAGGGTATCATATTCTGATCTCCTTTGACGGATATGCTTCTGAAAAAGTATTTGAACGTGGATGGGTAAAGATGGAAGATCTTATGGGCACAACAAGGTGGCATCTGAACGACAAGGAGAGGGGCCTTAGAAGAAACCAATCCTGCTGACACCTTGATCTCAGACTACTCAGTCTCCAGAACGGAGAGAAAATAATATTTTGGTGCTTAAGCTAGCCAGTTTATGGTACTTGGTTGCAGTGGTCTTAGCAAAAACAGTATACCATTTATCAGATGGAAAACCATCTTAAAAACATCTTCACTTAGCTCTCAAGGTTGTACTGAGTTAAAAAGATATAAATCCCTTTGTAAATTATAAAGTACTACAGAAATGGAAGTAATTGTTACTCATATAGTAGCTGAACAACCTGCAGGAATGCACTCCTCTCATTAAGACTGAGCTTTTTAACCTGTTTGTATGGCAGAGGCTCAGTTCTCATACAGGAGATGGGGAGAAACAGGAGACGTAAGGAGGACTGCAGTAAAGAATACAAACAACTTGCCAATGAAAGAAGAGAGGGAAAACAAAGAGAATGGTTTCTTATATCCATGCTGCAAGTTGGTAAAAACAAAAAAACAACCCACCTAAATTACCTATGATAATAATAGCTAATATGCATTGAGTATTTATTAACTACCACACATGGCCTCAAGTTTTTTTTATATGTGTTCTCCAATTAAATCTATCAATTCTATGGTAAAAGCACAGATGTGTGTGTGTGTGTGTAAAGATATATGTTTATTTCTGTCTCTGTGTCTATATGTTATCGATTTTAGTCCTCTGCTACAACACATATCTTCAATATGAAAATTTTTTGCTATGTAGTAGATAAAAAGCAATAACATTGCCAAAATGATATGTCATGATTTTTCAAGAAATGACTATGCCCGCATTACCTCAAAATGCGTGGAAACACTACCTGATGGAGCAGAGTGTCCTATGGTAAAATATACAACACCCACTCACCGCCCATCTCATCTTCTTACCCTTAACCCAGTGTCTGACGTGCCTTGTCCTAAGAATGTATGCACTGTTCTTCTGAAATTTTTTTTAAATATATATTTTATTGATTTTTTACAGAGAGGAAGGAAGAGAGATAGAGAGCTAGAAATGTCGATGAGAGAGAAACATCGACCAGCTGCCTCTTGCACACCCCCTACCGGGGATGTGTCCGCAACAAAGGTACGTGTCCGCAACGAAGGTACGTGCCCTCAACCAAAGTACATGCCCTTGACCGGAATCGAACCTGGGACTTTTCAATCCGCAGACCGACGCTCTACCACTGAGCCAAACCGGCTTCGGCTCTTCTGAATTTTTGTTTATTTCATGGTGAGCATATTGAGTGTATTGTATTAAACCTGTATAAGCACCCTGGTTATAAGAATCCTAGGTAGTGAATAAAAAGAAAAGCCTTCAGTTGAAATAATGAGATGTTTTGAAATAAAGGAGAGTATTTACAGGCCCGAGGGAACCCACGTTGTTCACATTCAGGAACAAGGGTGAGAAAATAAACAAAAGGAGCACCTGTGCATCCCAGTTGTCATATACATCGAGTGGAATTGGGAAGCACTTTGAAGAGACTGCAGATAAGGTCTCCCATGCCACGTAATGCCAACCCAGTTGAATAGCACTTTGTTTCCAATAGTCTCCAGGCTCATTAGGAAGCATATAAGCAACTTCTTTATGAAAAGAGGAGACTCTCAGAACAAAGTGGAATTTCTATTTTAGGCTCATTTAGGAAACAGAAAAACAGAGCAACACACCAGGGTAATCCAACTCTGACATCACAATATTTTACCCTGAGGTCCCTCTTTCCTTTTACCTCTTCTCAGTCATAGGAAAATTACAACACGTTAACACACCAATGATTTCAAGCAAATGGTTTTTGGAGTATGGCTATCCACTAAGGAAAATAATTAAGATATTACCTCCCATTTAAAGTAGGCATGGGAAATATAAAACTTCTATATGGCGAAAGACATAATGAACTAAAAGACAAATGACAAACATGTCATTGTCACATGTGGCAATGGGCTAAAATCCTTATAATAATGTATAATAAGCTCTTACAAATCAGTAAGGTTAACAAAAAAGAACATCCCAGTAAGAAATGATCAAATAAATGATGAAAAGATAACACAGGAAGAAACACAAAGTCTAATCATCATGAACTAGATCTCAATTTCAAATTTAAAACATGCAAATTAAAATTATGCATCATTTTTAACCTAATAGATTGGCAAAAACACATTAAAACGATTTTAAAAATGGGTTCAGCCCAGCCAGTATAGTTCTGTGGTTGAATGTAGACCCATGCACCAAGAGATTGCTGGTTTGATTTCGGGTCAGGGCACATGCCATGGTTTTGAGCTCCATCTTTAGTAGGAGGTATGCAGGAGGCAGCCTGTGGTTGCTTCTATCTCTCTCCCTTCTTCTCTCTCAAAAAATCAGTAAAAAATATTTTAAAAAATAGATTCAGCCGTGGCCGGGTGACTCCGTTGGTTGTGTGGTAGGCAGTTAGACAGACATGAGCAAAACATGAACCATGGGCCAGGTACAGGAGGTTAACAAGGTGGAAAGCCCAGGTACCTAGCAAAGGACAATTGTACGGGGGACTTCTCTCCCAGGGTGATTTTCTCTCCCCTAGCATGTCCCTGGCCTGGAAGTTTGGACCCCCTCACCTTTCCTCCCTAGAGATAACATCTGGGCCTCGAGCTGTTTTTCAGGTCCAGGCCCAGAAAAACAGCAAAATCAGACAATCTACACCTGGCTGACCTCAGAACCAGCTGCACTGAATAGTGACTCCTGCCCTGTGCTGACCAGTCAATCAGTGGAGACCACAACTCTGAAAGGACACACCTGGAAAACTGTTGAATATTCTATTGAGATCTTCTCCTGGGACCTCCTTTAAAATCTTCACCCTGAAAACCCTTAGGACAGAAGACGCAGTGCTCCTGGGGAGCACACCATGCCTTTCCCCATCCCTTCCCCCTTGTCCTCCCTGCCCCAGGCACATTACCATCAGCTTCCTCACTCCCAAGCTCCAAGGGCCCTTCCTTTACCTCTATAACTATTATAGTTTCCTAAGCCCATTTCTTCTAGGAATTACTTCTACCTCTGTGATTTACCAAATAAATGTTCTCTTATAGTTTAGGTCTTGGCTCTGAATTTTTTTCCTAACATACCCCCTAGTAGTACCAAGGTTGCTGAACCCAGGTTTGGTCTGATGGTAAGTCAGACACCTGGTGCCCTTTTGCTGCCTAGAACAGTTGGAGAGTTGTCGCTGGAGTGTTGTTTAGTATATATAAAAAAGATTGCGGTTTGATCCCCCTCCAGGCACGTGAGGTGTGTGTGGCAACACATTGATATTTCTCCAATCTCACTCTCTCTCTCTTAAATTAATAAATATATCCTTGGCTGAGGATTAAAAAAAAAAAAAGGGTTCAGTAATTTTACCTCTCCCTTCGAGAATGAATTGATTCAAAGGGAAATTAGATGGGTTAAAAATATATGTGCAAGTGTGTTCATTCATTACAAAATTATTTATAAGTTTAAAAAATTGCATTTCATCTAGCAATTGTGAATTGGTCAAATCAAAGTTTATACATTTTCATTTAGCAATTCTCCTGGAATCTACCCATTAGAATAGTCATTAAAACCAAGTTCTAAAGAAACAAAGATTTTTATTTCAGCAATTTGTAGAAGAGAAAAATGGCACAGTACACCCACATCAGGGAGGGAGAAAAAAAAGAGCACACTAATGATCACATTTATGCATCCATGTAAGATACTGTGTATACACAAGGGAAATAAAAATGGATTGAAAGGTAGGTTATAGAATACTATGCAGCTGTAAAGAAAAGATTTTATATGAAATTATGACCATATATTAAAATTTTTAAAAGTTCCATAACTGTATATACATTATGTCTCTTTTTATATAAATATATGTTTGAAGACACTCTGAGACTCCAAGCATCTTGACCATGGACACCCATCTAATAGTTGATTTGATGTTATTGGTTGCGTAAACACCTACTTAAATGAATAACTTTGATTTTGCCCCTGAAAAGCTCCTAATTTTAGTTTTCTGCTTTTTTTTTTTTTTTTTCTACCTATGCATGAAAGGTTCAAGACCCGCTTGGAGCTACAAGAGGCGAAGACTGCAGAGCCCATCAGCAAGTCTTACTGGTAAACAACCCTTTAATTAGTAATGCTTCTGGGCCTGCAAACCCTCACTCGCCCATTTCCAAGCCTTGGCTCCCACGCCCTTTTCGGAAGAGGGAACGTGCAGAGTCCCGCTAGGGCCTCCAGCCAATGAGCGCACGTCTACTCGCCGTCCTAGCAACTCCGGGCCAATGGGCGGAAGGCTATCTCTTGATCCGCCTCTGTTCTTTTCTAGCCAATGGGAAACGCCAATGCTCCCCCCCCACCTCCCTGCGAAGCCCGCTTCACTTCCGGACGGCTGCGGGGGAGCGCCGGCGTTGCCATAGCGACCATTTTACGTTAACTAGCCAGTCGCTGTCATCCAGGCGCTGGGGCCGCTGGGGGTGCTGGCCTTCACCCACTCGCCCTCAGCTCCCTGCGGTCGGTCGGAGGGCCTTCGCTGGCTCCGGGGGTTTGGCCTGAGGTCCCGCGGCGCTCCGCCCGGCGGCATGGCTGCGGAAGAGGAGGACGAGGTCGAGTGGGTGGTGGAGAGCATCGCGGGATTCCTGCGAGGCCCGGACTGGTCCATCCCCATCTTGGATTTTGTGGAGCAGAAATGTGAAGGTAAAGCACGAGAGCCCGAGCGGGCCATCCGTTCTCGCCGCTTTCGCGCCGGGGGTCGGCGGGGAGGTGGTCCCCACGGATCCTCTCCACCTCCCCGGGCTCCTCACCCGACCCGCCGGGGGTAGAGCCGGGTTGGTAGGAAGACGTAGCTGTCACTACGCCAGTGTTTTCTCGGACAGACCTGACAGTGGGACCCAGACTCTCCTCCCGTCGCGCCCGAAGAACACACATTAGACTTTAAATCCCAGGTTTGGTCTCTTCCCCCCGAAGCCTGCACGTTTCTGGTCTGGGTATGGGCAGGTGCACCGTGTGTGTGTGTGTGTGTGTGTGGGGGGGGGGGGGGGGTGGGGGGGGGGGGGTGGGGGGGCCTTCTTCAACAACCTCCCCAGAGGCTTGGGAGGTGGGGGGAGGCGTCAGTTTGCCTCTGAGTTGCGTCTGTTCCCAACAGTTGACCCCAAAGAGGGGCATGTGAATACTGCAGGCTCAGAACCGGTGATCCTGGTGGCCTGTATTCCCTTTATGGAGCTCTGACAATGGGCTGTACCAAAAAGGGGTGGTAGTGATGGAAGTTCAAATGATGCATGAGTTACTCCCATCAAAGTCTTGCCCAGCGAAGCAACCTGAATCACAGTTGGGCATTCATCTGTGCCGCAGGTTTTTTGGTTCCTAATGGGCTCCCATTTGTCTCCAAGGACTGAACGCAGAACTCGAGGGAACTGATCAGAACCTGGGGGTGACCTTCCTTCACAGGGAATGTTATGCCACGTTTATGTACCTCATTGGTTAGAAATTAGGCCCCCCCCCCTTCCACTTCCATCTTCACCTCCACCTCCACCATAGCCAATGAGGTACATAAACGTGGCATAACATTCCCTGGGTCACCCCCATTAGGAACCAAAAAACCTGCCGCACAGATGAATACCCAACTGTGATTCCGGTTGTTTCGACAAACATTTATTGAGTGTCTTTGGGCCAGAAGCTGGGAATAGAAAGATGAATAAGACACAATTATTCTTAAGTGGGGAAAAAGGCAAGTAAATGGTATTTAAATACAAAATGACAGGTGTTATAATAAAGGTAGGGACATGATGCTATATTATTAGGGTTCAGAGGAAGGCATCTAACCAGCCTAAGAGCAGGATAACAGGTCATGAAGTGTGTGCCACTTATAATGACTTGAAGAAGTTGGGATCAGGGAAGCCAGGTAAAGACAAAAAGATCTAGGATTGGCTTGAGGAAAGGCATTAGATTCAAAGCACTGTATTTGGTGGTATTCCAAGTAATTGTGTTAAGAGGGCAAAGATTGGGTGTTAGAGTGATGGGAGATGAAGCTTGGGATCCAATCTTGGAGGAGTTTGGCCTTTTAAGGATTTTGTACTTAATTCCCTAGGCAAAGAGTCTTAAATAAAAAATTACAGAAGTTGGTTTTGTATTTTTGAAAGATGGGTGTGTGTGTAAAAAAGTTTATTGTTTACAATTCTTGAATTTGCCCTGGTTCACTAATTAGATTGTTAGCTTTTTGAGAGAAAATATATCTTTCTAATCTACATTGTTTTACACATATGATCATTCAGTTAAACAATTTGTTTTGGTTTTATTTTACTTCATTATTGACTTACATATAACAAAAATGGCCTAGTAACTTTTCAGTAAAATTTTAATCAACAAAGGTTCAGCACTATAAAATATGGAGCTTATTGTGAAAGGAATTATTGTTTAAAAATTGTTAATAATAATATTCCATTAAAAATTTATAAAGAAATTGTTGCTTTATATTATTGATTGAAAAGTAGCAGATTAGCCAAAACTGGTTTGGCTCAGTGGATAGAGCATTGGCCTGCGGACTGAAAGATCCCAGGTACGATTCTGGTCAAGGGCACGTACCTTGGTTGTGGGCACATCATCAGTAGGGGATGTGCAAAAGGCAGCTGATCGATGATTCTCTCTCATCGATGTTTCTAACTATCCCTCTCTCTTCCTCTCTGTAAAAAATCAATAAAATATATTTTTTTTAAAAAGAAAGAAAAGTAACAAATTAGTGTTTGTCTTCCATATGAGTTAGATTTTAAGTAAGAAAAATAACTTGTTTACAATTAACACTATCTATATATATAAAAGGCTAATATGCAAAGTGTCCCTGTGGGAGTTTGACCAGAAGACTAGAAGTTCAATTGCTTGCTATGACATGTGCTGAACACGAGGGGGTGGTGGGTACCTTGGTGGGTGACCAGTGGCGATGGAAGGGTACTGAGGGAGCTAGGGAAGGAGGAGGTGGGGAGGTGGAGAGGCGGGGAACCTGATTGGCCCTGATTGCCAGCCAGGCCTAGGGACTTTACCCGTGCACTAATTTTGTGCACTATGCTTCTAGTGTATATATAATGACAAAGAAGTGGGGACCAAGGAGGCCAGGCAAAGGTAAAAAGATCTAGGACTGACAGATACATACAGGGGTGGGCAAACAAATTTACGTTTACAGTTCATATAGAAAATAATACAATAATAAATAATATAGTAATAAACTCTGTTTCGCATACTCACAACTGTAAAACTACTTTTGCCCATCCCTGTATGGTATCTATAATAATAAAAGCATAACATGTTAAATAGACTGGATATCCTTGCTTCTGGACAAAGCCACAGCAGGTGGGGACTGAGGCAGAGGCAGCAGAGGCCCCTGGCCTTGCCCGAATTTCATACATTGGGCCTCTAGTCTATATGACAGAAGCCTAAGTGACCTTTATGATGGAACGACTAGAATGGCTGGTCCCTGTGATGCACACTGACCACCAGGAGGCAGACGCTCCATGCAGGAGCTGCTCCCTGGTGGGCAGCAGGCTCCCACAGGAGGAGCGCCACTCAGCCAGAAGCTGGGCTCACGGCTGGCAAGCACAGCTGCGGTGCTGGGAGCCTCTCCTGCCTCCGTGGCAGCTCTGAGGAGCAGCAAACCGAGCTGTAAGAAGCAGTGAGCAGGCGGGTGGTAAGGAGCGAGGGGTCCCAGGCTGAGGGACCCCCTCCCATCTCCCTCAGTGCACAAATTTCATGTACCAGGTCTCTAGTGTGTGTACAAGTGTATACTTCTAAGTGCATATACAAGTATCTGTTTGTAAGATATAGGAGTAGACTTTTAGAGTAGCATTAATGGTATCATTTATTTTTATTCAATATTTTATTCAATTTAGTTTTTGATGATGAAGAAGAAAGCAAATTGACCTATACAGAGATTCATCAGGAATACAAAGAACTAGTAAGTACTTTTATATATATATATATATATATTTTTTTTTTTTTTTTTTAATTTTATTTTTTTTACTGATTTTTAAAGGTAATTCAAATAATATTAATTTTAGCTCTTCTAAATTAAAAATGGTGCCCTGGCTGGTTTGGCTCAGTGGATAGAGTGTTGGCTCAAGAACCACAGGGTCTTGGGTTCAATGCTTCTCCAAGGCACATATCTTAGAGGCAACCAGTCAATGTGTCTCTCTCACATAGATATTTTTCTCTCTGTCTCTTCCCCCTCCTTTCCACTCACCCTAAAAATCAACGGAAAAATATCCTCAGGTGAGGATTGACAAAAATAAATACTGACAAAAATAAATAAATAAATAAATAAACTTAAAAAAAAAAAAAAGGATTTGTCCATCAAAATTCTTCAAAAAATTCAATCTATCCTAATAGTACTACTAGTTGCATCAGGCTCCAAGGGTTCTTTCAGCATCTCATTCTTATGACTTCATATCTCTTCTACTCTGTAATCTAAGGAATAGGTTAAGATGACTATGTTAAGGAATCTTGCATCTAATCTTTAAATTTTACTATTCTTTTGCTGATGCATCCTGGGAAGTGTTATTAATTTAGTAAATTGTCTTGTGATTTTTAAAAATGACTCCCCTGGGTAGTAGAAGAGTTGCATCTCATCAAACTTCACAATCTTGACTTCAGTTATTTTCAGAAGAAGAAATGAAATTTCATTAGATACTTTGTGGAAATTTTTAATTTTTTGTTGTTTGTTTTTCCAATGAAAAACATTGCTACTCTCATGTAGTATAATTTTATGTAGATTAATAATTGCAAACAAACATTTGTTTACACTCCTTTAAACTCATACTTAACATGAAAACTGTCATTTTGAATTTTTCTATATAAATTATAAAAGTTAAACTTTCTCTTTTTTAGGTTGAAAAGCTGTTAGAAGGTTATCTCAAAGAAATTGGAATTAATGAAGATCAATTTCAAGAAGCATGCACTTCTCCTCTTGCAAAGACCCGGACATCACAGGTTTTTGCTTTCATGTTATTCCGTAACATATGGTTTTGACAAAAATGACCCAAAAAAGGGTTTCGCTTAAATTTGCTATGTTTGATTGTCAAAGATTATTCTTGACATTGTAGTAAGTTATCACATATGAGTTCTTTTTTATAAATACCTTGAGAAGTGGTAATTTGAGGCATTAATGAACTGATGCAATTAAAAAAGAACTTTCTGAATTTAGAATATAATAGATCACTGATAGTTTTGTAATTACTCTTTTTTAATCTAGCAAATTCATAGAACACAGTTCCTGAGGCTTCCTTCTTTTGGAACTACTTTTATTATCTTACTTGTAGCCCTGCACAGGAATCTGTGTGCCAGTAGCTCTCTGCTGCCCTCCTGTAGTGCTCTGTCCACTGCCCCGCCCTCCTGTAACTACCCCCGTCTCCATCCCCCCTCTCCCCTCATAGCGTGATGCCCTGCCCCCTCCTGTAGCTCTTTGGTGGTCCCTTGTAGTTTGCTGTCCCACCCTCCTGCAGATCCGTGATCTGGTTATTACACGGTCGGTCGTTATGCCTTATGCCTCATGGTGTAACGGATAATTATCATATTCCTCTCTTATTATATAGGATTAGTTCTGCAGTGTGAATTTATAACTAATATTTATTGAGGGCTCATGTTAGTTGCTTGTTTTAGGCACTTGATATGTATTATCTCATTTAATTTTCCTGATATTCCTTAAGAAATATTTTGCTTCCATTTAGAACTGAGAAAACAAATGCACAAATACATTAAACGACTAGTGCAAAGTACACAGCTAAGTAGGTAGTTGAATCAGGATACCAGCCCAGGCTCAGAGGCTGAGGATAGGGATATGTAACTATTACTAAATAGCCTTCTGAAAGAGTTGCTTTAGCTTCCCAGAATCTACCAAATGATAATTCCTTAGTGAGGTATTAATTAGGATTCTCTATGATGTGACCCCAAATTATATTTTTAGCCTTCTTCTGCTATAGTTCTCCAATATATTATGTACTACAGTCATTTTAGGCCACTTGCTCTCATAAGTCACTTTGCTTATGCTATTTCTTTACTCTGGAATATTTGGCTCCTACCTCCCCACCCCACCATCCTTTCCTTACCCAGAAAATCCTCATCATCAGGGCCCGGCTTAAATTTTCTTCTTAAGGCAAGTTTCCTGTTCCTTCTAGTCTGACTAACACTTATTGTGCCTCACTGGGCATTTATAATTTTTTGGTATTCTGCCTTTATTTATAGTTTCTTACAACTCTATTGGCTTTACTAGATTGTAAGTCCTTTGAGCTGTTTTAAATCTCTTTGCATTCCCAGCATCTATCACAGGATGAGAACTTAATTCCTAATAGATAGTTCTTAATAAATTATTGCTAACTTAAATTATCTCTTTATTGTGGCTTAGAAGTGCTTGCCTTAACTACTGTTAAGCACTTCCTGCTTCAGTTTTCTTTTGCACAACTTTGCTCATTGAATGATCACCTCTGATTTTAGAGATAGAAAATCTTTATTTTTATTTTTATTTTATTATTTTTTAAATATATTTTATTGATTTTGTAGAGAGAGGAAGGGAGAGAGATAGAAAGCCAGAAACATCGTTGAGAGAGAAACCATCGATCAGCTGCCTCCTGCACACCCCCCATTGGGGATATGCCCGCAAACAAGGTACATGCCCTTGACTGGAATCGAACCCGGGACCCTTCAATCCACAGACTGACGCTCTATCCACTGAGCAAACCACTCAGGGCACCAGTAGCTTTTGTTGTATATACACGATAGTTTTAGATTAAGGAATAATAATAGACACTATTTTTTTCTCCTTTTTAGTGAAATAGGAAGAATTTGAAAGTTATTAAGCAGCATTTAAATTTATTTTTAAGACTTTGGTATTTGTTTTTATTTTCCTTGTTTTTCCAGAATATTTCCTGAATAAAGATGTTCACAGTAATATTAGACATATCCATCTTTTGTTTTTGTTATCAGGATAAATTTAAATTATTTGAATGAAGGTATTCAGAATTTTAAAATATTTCTTTCAGATAAAAAGTAACACATCTTTCTCATTTGTTCTTTTATACAACACCTTTTGATTTATCTGGATTTGATTGGTACAAGGACTCAAGCCTTTGACACAGACAGAACTTGATTTGAGTCATACATTTTTCATTCATTAGCTCTAAAACCTCAGTCAAAAATTGTTTTAGTTTTCCTTTCTTATCCAATTTGATTATAAATTTCCATATCCATAAAATATGGGTAGTATCTTCTTTGAAAGATTTTTGTGCAATTTCAGAGGTAGCATTCATAAAGCATTTAGCACAATACTTGACATGTATAAGGTGGTATATATGGAAGTGCCTCTTAATTATCTGTGGCTATTTTGGTGGTTGATTAGCACTGTGTTAATCAGGCCAGGGTCATGGGTTCAATCCCCATGTGGACTAGTTAGCTTTATTCTCTTTTTGCACAAACTCTTAGCACCAGATACTGAATATCAAACTGATGGAATTAGCTAAGTCTGTCACCATTATCAGAAAAACAACTCAAAGTATGTTTCATATTGCTTTGCAGCAATTATATAATCTTTTAAAATTATTTATTTTTTAAAAATTAATTTTATTTAAAGTTTTTTATTTATTTATTAAGAGAGAAAGAGAAACATTGATTTATGGTTCTATTTGTGCAGTCATTGTTTGATTCTTGTCCTGATCTGATAGTGAACCTGCAGCCTTCATGTATAGGGAGGATGCTCTAATCAACTGAGCTACTCAGCCAGAGCAATCGTATAATCTTCATACGTAAGATAAGAAGGTAATTCCATTATGTCAATAGGGTGCTTAAGAATGAGTTCAAGAAACCAGTTGCTTGCCCTGGATAATTTTAGGAGGTAATTTTTATTTGTTTTGGTTTGCTTAGTTTGATTTTGTTTTTTAAATCAGTTGCCAGTTACCATTGTATTGCTAAAGCAAACTTGAAAGATTCTTTTTACCTGATTTGGTTATCAGACCTAAACCACTGGTCCTGGAATACTCTGTGTATTAAAGTCAGTGGGAGTGGTAAGGGGTATAATGACATTTATTAAATGAAGAACTCTTGTTAAAAAAAAGAAAAAGAAAAAGACTTTTTAAGAGCATGATTTTCTGTTATATATGTGTGGTTTCTTTAAAAATGCTTATGACTGCTGAAACTGGTTTGGCTCAGTGGATAGAGCGTCGGTCTGTGGACTGAAAGGTTCCAGGTTCGATTCCGGTCAAGGGCATGTACCTTAGTTGTGGGCACATCCCCAGTAGGGGATGTGCAAGAGGCAGCTGATCGATGTCTCTCTCTCATCGATGTTTCTAACTTTCTATCTCTCTCTCTCTCTGTGTAAAAAATCAATAAAATATATTTTTTTAAAAATGCTTATGACTTAGGATATCTTTCTAAATAGTTGAGAAAATTATGACAATATAATAAGTAGAGAGATATTATTTCACTTGTCTTCAGTAATATTACTAATTATGTGCTATTTTTAATTGAAATAGGCAACAGTGACTTCCTTCATTGCTTTTGATTTTTTTTTTGTGAGAATCGAGTTCATCATTGTTATCAATGTATTGCCAAAACCAGAGATTTCTATATGGCAAGAGGCAAACTATTTTTTGATTTTGTTTTTGTTTAGTTGATTATCTTAACATTTATAAGAAAGACATTGATACTATATTATATTATTAATACTAGAGGCCTGGTGCACAAAATTCGTGCACTGGGGTCGGGGGGTATCTCTCAGCCCAGTCTGCACCCTCTCCAATCTGGGACATCTCTCTCACAATCCAGGACTGTTGGCTCCCAACTGCTTACCTGCCTGCCATCCTGATTGCCCCTTACTGCTTTTGCCTGCCATCCTCATCACCCCTAACCACTCCCATGCCAGCCTGATTGATGCCTAACTGCTCCCCTGCCAGCCTGTTTGCCTCCAACTGCCCTTCCTTCTAGGCCTTGTCCCTCTCAACTGCCCTTCCTTGGAGGCCTGGTTCCTCTCAACCACCTTCCCCTGCTGGCCATCTTGTGTCCACATGGGGGCAGCCATTTTGTGCGTTGGAGTGATGGTCAATCTGCATATTACTCTTTTATTAGATAGGATAGAGGCCTGGTGCATGGGGGCCTGCTGGTTGCCCTGAAGGGTGTCCCAGATCAGGGTGGGGCTCCCTTGGGGCCTGGGGCAGTCTGGGCGAGGGGCCTGTGGTGGTTTGCAGGCCAGCCTACCCCCTGGTGACCTAAGCAGAGGCCCTGGTATCTGGAATTTATTTACCTTCTACAATTGAAACTTCATAGCCTGGACCAGAGCCAAGCCTCCTGCTCGCACAGTGGCAGCAGCCATTTCTGATGGCATTTATGTATTTTCTATAATTGAAACTTTATAGCCCATAGTGAAAGCCTGAGTCAGCCAGGGCTGCAGAAACTTTGCTTCCTCCATTGCCAGGGAAACCCAAGCCTCCCTTCTGCTCTTTGTGGCAGCAGCCATCTTGGTTGGGGTTAATTTGCATATTCACTCTGATTGGCTGGTGGGCATGGCTTGTTTGTAGCAGAGTGATGGTTAATTTGCATATTACTCTTTTATTAGACATTTGTAATACTAGTAATTTGAGGAAAATTATGCTTCCCCCTCAATAACTTGGACCATTGAAAAGATTACATATGTGGTGTAACTTTCATTTCCTAAAAATACTACACAGGGTAATTAACAATATTTTGTGTAAGGCTTTAAAAAAATTAATATACTTTTTTAGAGCAGTTTTAAGTTTACCTAAAATTGAGCTGATAGCAGAGGCTTTTGATGTCAAGGCCTAATTTTTTTCACCAGTGTAGCTCTCAGACTTTAATATTTTAAGAATTATATGGGGAGATACATGGGTACCCATCCGTCGGAAATTTAGATTCATTATGTCTAGTGCAGGGTTTAGGAATATTTAATTAACCCCTCCTTTCTGTATTCTTAAAACACACTTTCAGAAGCCATGCGTAATGCTTTTAAGTTCAACTCAAACTGACTTGCTAGAAGCTCTAGTTGACACATTGCCATCAATAGTGGTGCCCTGCAAGTGTTTGTTAGTGATGCGTTTAACGTATTTGATATTACTAATAAGAAGTCTGGAAAGCCCAGAACGAAGTTATGTAGTGCCATAAGGCCATAAAGAGGCCCTGGTGGACATCACTGATCTATCTATCAGAGGCTGCCCACAATTACTGTGCTCTGGGCTGCAACTTTCAGTCAAAACAGATGAAGCTTATTTGCCATTTCTGCCCTGGGCCTTTTGAATAGTGTTATTGAATTTAAGGGAAAAGATACATTTTTCCTATAGATGACCCTATAATTGTCACAGAGAGCTACATTTGCACTTTATTTTGCTATATCAGGGGTGTCTAGGATGTGAGCTGGTTGTTGTGGGAAGGGCTCCTTCCTCTTTGCTTAAGAGCTCTCTGATGGTGCTTTTGTTAAGGTGTCTTTGACATTGCTGCCGCCTACCTGTGAACAATAATAGCACACCCTTCATTGCCTGTCCACGATTTTGTGTGATTAGCTTTTCCACAATATCATGTAAAACTTGAAGTAAGATTTTAGTAAGATGGATCACATCTGAGTGTTTTCTTTTGGGTTTTTACACATTTCAAATTTTATCCTACTTCTTATTGGTTAGCTTGGGAATTGGTTTGCTCTTCGATATAACAGTCGTTTTCTGTAATTAAGGAAATATTAGTTTGGGTATAGAGGGGTAGACACCTTTATTTATTTTCTTCTAATTTGTTATACTTCAGTTTTAGCCAGAAAAGGATTTTCCATCTTAATTTCTAATTCTGCCTCTTCCATGAAACTTTCTACGTATAGGACAATTACAATTACATTCTCACATTACTAATAACATATTACACTTACTTTTCAGACTCCATTTTTTGACATTTAGTTTTATTTAATTGGGTATTTTTATTAATTAAGGGATCATATTGTAGTCAATGATTTATCATTAAACAGTACATTTCAAGTGATAGAATATAACCAAATAGATTATTTAGGCAGGAAAAACAAATTCAGATCCTCTTTTTATGTGTAAAAAAACAACATACATATTTTAATTAAAAATATTTAATTACTAGCCGAAACCGGTTTGGCCCAGTGGTAGAGCGTCGGCCTGTGGACTGAAAGGGTTTGATTCTGGTCAAGGGCATGTACCTTGGTTGTGGGCGCATCCCCGGTGGGGGGTGTGCAAGAGGCAGCTGGTTGATGTTTCTCTCTCATCCACGTTTCTAGCTCTCTATCTCTCTCCTTTCCTCTCTGTAAAAAATCAATAAAATATATTTAAAAAATTAAAAAAATATTTTATTACTAAAAAATGCTAACATCATCTGAGCCTTAGTGAGTTATAATCTTTGTGTTGGTAGGTCTTGCCTCAATTTTGATGAAAATGCATTGTCTAAGAAGTGCAATAAATGCATGTAGTTTTAAAACGTGAATTTAACTTATAGATTTCTTTCCACAGGCAATTTTGCAACCCGTGTTGGCTGCAGAAGATTTTACTATCTTTAAAGCAATGATGGTCCAGAAAAACATTGAAATGCAGCTGCAAGCCATTCGAATAATTCAAGAGAGAAATGGTAAAATGTTGAATTTAGAAATCGAAGTGCTAAATGCACTTTTGTTTTTTGCAATTTTGACTATGCTGATTCTAACCTGGTCTTAAATGTAGCTGCCTTTATATTTATATTTATTCCAAGTTTGAAAGTCTGTGGCTGGCTTAAGAGATTCAAGAGTGTAAACTTCCTGATCAGTGGGTGTTTGACATTTCAAATGCAGACCAGAATTTGATGGAAGAGTGATTTAGGTTTCAGAGAGCTTGATTTTTCTGTCCAGCCAAAGAGTTATGAAATTCAGTATTTTTGAGTGATCACAGTTGTAGTTACAGTTGAGAGAATGTGACTACCCTTCCTCTGGCTTATCATTGTTAGGACCTTAGGAAACCAAAGTAGAAACTAGTTTCCATCCGGAGCTGGTTGGGCTCAGTGGATAGAATGTTGGACGGAGGACTGAAGGGGTCCAGGTTCAATTCCGGTCAAGGGTGCATACCTCGGTTGCAGGCTCAATCCCTAACCCTGATCCAGTTGCTTGTGTGATTAAAGCATTGGAAGCAGTTGAGGGGGCTTGTGGAAATACATATGTCCCTTAGTTTCTGATTCAGTAAGTGTGGAGTAGGGCCTAAAACTGCATTTTTAACAAGTTCCCAGATGATGGTAAAGCTCTTGGTTTTGGGACCACACTGAGAACTACTGTTGTAGGGCAAAACCTGACCTTAATAACCTATATGTTCCTTTGCTCAATAGACTACTACTGATATTCTTTACCATGTCTATGTACTTTTTAATGGTTTGACAGCAGCACCTTTTCTTTGATTGTTTCTTAAAGGTACGAGAGCTATAGGTCAGCAATACTGTTTGCTTCTAAGGGCCTGGGGCATGCAACAATAGAGTTTCTCGTGTTGCAGGGAAAACAATAAAATGTTGAGGGCCCTTGTGGATTCTCCTCTCATTTGTCTCCTCTGAGTAGAGACTCAGTCCCTTAGAACAGTGATTTTCAACTGCTGTGCTGCAAGAATTTAAAACACACACAATACTGACTGTTCAGTCAGGGGCACTGACCTCTTTTCTCTTAGGTTGACAAATAAAAATATGACAACAGCCAACAGAACAATAGCCATCCATGTGAATGAATCAGTAATATACCTATTTTTTTGTCAGATCAGCAAAAAATATATATTTTTTGGTGTGCTGCACAATTTTAGTAACTAGATCCACAGCTGAGGACCTTAGAGTAATGTTGATTTTACTCAAATCTGTAGACCATTTGAAAATTGTATTTGTGATGAGAAAAATCCAAAAGCTCTCTGGATTCTTTGTTGTATTTTATCAAAGAATTTTGGGAAAATGCAAATCAGAGCATTATTTTGATGGTTTTGAAGAATTGCATACTGCTACATTATTCTTTCCTTTGTTCTTTTCATTTTCCTTACAAAGTGTATTAGGAGAATACTAATTGTATATCTTTTGTCTTAGCAAAACTGCATTTAAGTTTAATGGGTTATATAGATGTCGGTTTTTTGATTGTGATACTGTACTGTAGTTTTGCAAGATGTTACCATTGGGAGAAACTGGGTAAAGAGTACATAGCATCACTTTGTATTACCGTATTTCTTGCAACTGTGTGTGAAACTGTTAATTATCTCAAAATAAAAAGTTGAATTAAAAATACATTTAAACAACAAGGGGATTAAAATAATAAAGCTACTTTAATTTAGATTAGATCCAAAGGCCCATTGTCATATGTGGACAGAAAAATAGAAGGTAATAATTTGAAACATGCTGCTAATATTATGAGAATGTAATTATAAATGTGGACAGAACACTTATTACCAGTCTACTTGCTTATTAAGAAAATATAGGTAATGAAGTAAATTAAATTAATACTTATAATTACTTGCTATAAATTATTATTTGCCTTGGGCTGCAGTTGGTATTGCCCTGGTTTATAGTTATTAGCCCAATATTTGCATAGAAGCTTCAAGGACAGAGATTGTTTTATCCATCTTTATATTCCCCCTAATGCTTAGCACCAGGCTTTTTTGCATGTAGTAAGCAGGGCCCCTTTCAGTAGTATTTGTTGTAATATGAAGGAAGAGTATTAACATGCTGTTTTAATTAACAAAGTATTTTATATTTTATCTTGTAAACTCTTTCCCCTTTTAAGGGATACTTTTGAGAGCATACTTTCATTAGTAGGAACCTACTGAGTTCAGTGCTATACCCTCTACTAGTTGTGATTATGTAAGAAAATAGCTTAAATTAATTTTTACTACCATATGTAATAGTTGCTACTTTTAATAAGCAATACAAATAAGAGACATTTCTAGGTAATATTGTGTGGTGTGATTTTTTTTTTTTTGTGACGATGGTGTTGGGAACTGCTGATTCCCTGAAAGGAGAAAAAGTAAAAAAAACAAAACAAAACAAAACAAAAACCATGGTTAAAAAGATAATAGTTTAGAATCTTCTTAAAAGTGACAGATATTAATAAATTATTTGCACTTCTTGATGAACTAGGAGAGTGAGAAATAAATGTTTTCAGTTGAGTTGATATTCTTCCATGTGGTCTGGTTTTGAACAGGTGTATTACCTGACTGCTTAACAGATGGTTCTGATGTGGTCAGTGATCTTGAACAGGAAGAGATGAAAATCCTGAGGGAAGTTCTTAGGTATCCTTCTTTAATTATTTTTTGAATGAATCACTAGAATTTTGTAATATGACTTGTATATATGCTTTTCACCCCCAAAATATTATGCACTAGTAAAATATCTAAATTTACTACTGAAGACCATGAAAATGACTTGTCATTTTATTTTGTTTATAACTATGTATAGTACATTTCTTAATGGACAGAAAAAATTATTTTCAGATGATTCATACCAGGTCAATACAAATGGGAGTGCCTTCTACTTCCATGGTGGGAATAGGAAGCGAAATTGGAACAAGATGCAGTAGATCCATGCCTGGAAAGGGGAGTAGTGGCCTGAGCTGACCAGGAAACTCCATGGCTTTTGGATCTCAGTAGCAGAGGTGGCTCAAGCCATGTGTCTCACAGTAGGAGGCTGGACATCCAGACTCCAGAGACCAAATAGCTGAATGAGTGGCAGGTAATTTGCAAGGGGAAGAGGATAGTGGGAGGTGCCTATCCAGATGACTGTCTTTCCCCTCTCTTCCTTGCCCCGGTTACATGATTCTCAGCCAAATGCCTGACACGGAGCGTGCAATCCACTAACGGGGCCTGTTGTCCCTGACCCCATAGAAACTTTGGAGGGGCAATTTTAGCACCCACTTTTTAAATCTGTGAGAAATATATAGCAAAAGTCTGCATCCACTGTGTCACCTGTAGAGATTTAAGGGCTGTAACCACAGATCTTCTAGAATCCTGTTGTACCCCCCACCTACTCACCTTGTCCCCAACTCTAAAGCAGAAGGACGGAGAGGCTGGTTGATGGTAAGGAGCTCTAGGACTCACTGCTTAATATCAGGGAATTGGAGTGGTTGCGGGGGGGAGGCAGATGTGTGAGTGAACCCAGCCTTTTCCTGCCAGATCCTACATTCCACTGCAGGGGCAATGGGAGCCTGAGATAACACAGAATGCTTTGAGTTTACAGTGTTGAAGAGGTAAGGATATTTGGTGTTAGGGTTAGAAGACTGGTAAAGTTTTGTCTTATCCTGGTTGCCCCTGTTGGTTGATTGGCCGTCTGAAAACTGATCAACATTGTATTTTTAAATGTTATTTTCTAAGGGTTTTTGAGGGGTGTGTAATACTGTGTAAGTATTAGAGATTATTTATGAACACGTAAGAGAGGTGATGGCTATTCTCCTAAGTCAGACTGCCTCCGCATTTATGAAAGCTGGTAAGGCTTGGGCGAAATGGCATTAGGAAAGCTTTGCAATAACTGGGAAAAGTAGAAGGAGGGGAGCAGTGGATTTTATCAAGAGGGCTATAACTAAAGAGAGAGGTCAAAGTCTATATTAATGGGATTTTCAATTCAAATTTGGGTTTAGAGTTTTCAACATTTTAATCTTTGTTTATCAAGGGGACATTGGCATTTCCAGAAGAAATGGGCGTGCCTGTATTTTATATTACTGTGTGCTGTAATAGCCTATGTATATCTCTCAGTTGATGTAAGCAAAGCCTAATAATTTTCATTTTTGTTTTCAAAATTTCTTGCACATAGTATAAGCTTAGGTTAACATGTTGCTTGTTGAATATTTTTTCTTTGACCAAAAAAGAAAATTTACTTTTCTACCTTATTTTATATATTTCAGAAAGTCAAAAGAAGAATATGACCAGGAGGAAGAAAGAAAGAGAAAAAAGCAGGTGCCTACAGAATATATTAATATAATAGAAGTATTTCATTATTGTTAATCTAGTTTTTGTTGTTAAAATTTAAGCTTACATGGAACTACACAATTCCTAAAAGTATTCATATTATCTTGGCAATTCTAAGCATTTGTATTTAACTTTATAAGTTTATAATTAATCCAACAACCTACCTTTATATTTCCAAGAAAGACTACATTATTAACTCCAAAACACTGTAATACCATTTATATTTTGGGGGATTCCTTTTAAAAATTTCCCTTAATTTTATGAATAAAAGAAGATTAAGAAAAATATTTTACTTCCCCATTCCTTGATTTCTTCAGTTTTGAAACATCATTGATGTTTCTATCTCTTCCTCTCTCTGAAATAAATAAAAACATTTTTTTAAAAAATGGAGGATATATAAATTACTGGATACATCTTAAAAACTTTGGAAAAACAGAACAGTAATTCTTTTTTTAAAAAAAAACTATTGTCTTTGGATTTTAAAAGTAATTAAGTAGTAAAGATTAATAATTTTTTTTAATTGTGTAATGAATTCCTGAAGTTATCAGAGGCTAAAACAGAAGAACCCACGGCAAATGCTGATGAAACCACAAAAATGAGTAATTCCCAAGGGGATGGTGAACATGATGCACACTCACCCTTAGGTAAGCTTGATGTGTCACTAAACTTTCTCTAATAATATCAATACACGAACATTGTAAAGAGTGTACAACTTTCTTTGACATTCTTAACTTTCTAAACCCTGGATGGAATATTGAATGGCCATTGGTATTTAAAGTTCTTTGTAAATTTAGCTAAAGAGATTGCTGATAGGAAATACCAGCTGACAGAAATAGTTCAGTTCCCAAATTTCTAAGTGAAGCCTGGAACCCAGAGCAGCAATCCTGCCACGAGCCCTTGGTATCACAGCTGTAGCATCTAAAATGTATTCACATAACATTTGGTATTCTCACCCTTGATCACAATTATGTGGAAAGTAAGAAGTTAAACTTGGAATGCTAATATTATTTCCCAAGTGAATTAAAGCACATCTTAAAAATAAGAGGTAGCTAATTTATCCAGATGTTTAGTCAGAAACTATTGTTGAAAGCAAAATCACTGAGAATCTGTATGGGAAATGTTAGCAGATGAAATTGTTGAATATGTAGAAATCCATTTTCAATATGCTCTGATTTCCTTTATATGAAAACAAGTAATTCTAAAATAGAAATTGAGTAATGATCATGAATTCAGTTCATTTTATTATGGATTTCTGTGTTTTTAAAGAAACATCCTTTTCTCAATTAAAAAATAAAAACATAACTCTGTCAGATAGATATGATATTGCCTTCTTTTTTGTTAACAGGAAATTTAAGGAAATTGGGTGACTTGTCCAAAATCACTAAACTATTAAATGCTTAAGCTGTGGTTAAACCTGCTTGGTCTGACTTTAAATCTTGTGTTCTTTTACACTTTAGTTTAGAAGAACTTTTATAATTGAGATTAGTGGCCTGGTGCATGAAATTCATGTGTGGGGGGGTGTCCTTCAGTCTGACCTGCTCCCTTTCCAATATGGGACCCTTTGGGGGATGTCCGACTGCTGGTTTAGGCCTGATCCCGTCTGCTGGCCTGCTCGTCCCCAAATGGCCCCCCCTTGCTGGCCTGATTGCCCCCAATTGCCCTCCCCTCCTGGCCTGATCACTCTTAACTGCCTCTGCCTTGGCCCTGTCACCATGGCTTCGTCCGTAAAGGACATCCGGAAGGTCTCCCAGCCTAATTAGCTTATTACCCTTTTATTAGTATAGCTAATATGGGTTTGGTATTTCCCTGTGCAGTTTCCCTCTGACCCTCTGGGCTCTTCCAGTTCTCTCCAGCCCAGATCCCCAATTTTACCATTCTCCAGGCGTCCTCTGCCCTTCTGAGCTCCGAATTGTCTCACCAGCTGTGTCTACTACGCCATTTCAGGGTGGATGTTGTTCGCTTTAGTTGCTCATTCTATTGATCCGGGACAAGGCTTGGGGCACATCCATCTATTCCACTGCCATATTGTCTCTCTTAAAATCTTTACATTTTCTTAATGTGTTGATAGGTTTATAGATACTATCTTTAATATGTATTACAAACAAAATTTATTAATATTATTGGTATTTACTCTTCCACTACAAAAAATTATAGCTTTACATTAACGTTTCTGAAAGTATAGGTTCACTTACTGTTTTTACCCACAAGCAAAAGTTTGGGATTCTAGTACTGTTTATTTGGCTTATGTGGCAATCTTGTATTACATTATAGTGGAGTTCTGATTTTTAGATGAGAAATTTATCTTTTTGTAGCTGAAGTACCAAACAGCAGAAATTTGGTATTAAAATGTCATTGTTTGTAAGAATTGGTCTTTGAGGACAGAGACCATGTTTATTGTTCTTACTACAGTATTAGGCACTGAATCAATGCATGTTGATTGAATGAGTGTGAGAGAAAAAAAAGTGTTACTAATACTAGCTCATTTTGCTGAACCTAGTCTAATACTTAATATACAATAGTAATCTGTTTGGTCTCTATCTACTGCCAGAAGCGAAAGCGCATTTTGCTAATTCAGCAGCGGAACCTTTGGCAGGAAAACTGGAAATGTTGCCTGAAACATCTTCATTCCCACAAAAAGGCCTGAAGATTCCTGGCTTTGAATTTGCAAGCACCGAAGGACCAATAGCAGTAAGGAACATTAACTTTTTAAGAACTATGAACAAAATGACAAAGTACTAGGAACAAGCAATGTAAACAGTCATATACTTTTGTTATCTTGAACTCAAACTTCTAATTGAATCAGTCAGGTATCTTTGTCATTTACTATATGAACTTGAATCTAAAATACTTCATTTTTTTTTGGTTCAGAATTTATCAACACTTGGAACAGAAGAGCTGCGGCAACGAGAGCACTATCTCAAGCAGAAGAGAGATAAGTTGATGTCCATGAGAAAGGATATGAAGACTAAGCAGGTGCAAACTGCAGAGCAGAAGGGAAAAGCTACTGGGGAAGGAGAGGTATGGCTGATCTTATTATGTCAAAACTAGTACATCTAGAGGTGGAATTCTCAAAATCAGAATATGTGGAAGAAAGCTTTACTAATCAATGTTGCTTGTAGATCCATTTATATTAACCTCCCTGCTAGTGGAGCGCCTTCTGTCTTTTCTAGGAGTATAAGATGGTTATGTAATGAGGATTTTGTGAGGTAGATATGATAACAGTTTCATTATACATTTCTTATTTCTTTACTTGCCCTATTCTGAGTGCGTAAGGGTCAGCAGTCTATTTCACCTGAGCCTTTTGACATATTTTACTCTAGAGCAGCATCAGTATCCTAGTCACCACCTTTAAGAGGCTTCCCCAAGAAGAAATTTTGGTAAGGAAGAGATTTATGGAACTTAATCCATGTGTGACTTTTTAAAAAATTTCACTAAAAATGCTCTTTGTTCAAGGCAGTATATTGGGAATTTTAAACAAATGAACCCATCTTATATTGTAGCCAATTTTTTTCTTTTTCTTTTTCTTATTTAAGGAAATGACAGAGAAACCAGAAATGACAGCAGAGGAGATGCAAACATTACTAAAGAGGAGATTGCTTGCAGAGAAACTTAAAGAAGAAGTTATTAATAAGTAACTTTAAAACCAATTTAGCAAAACAGAAATGAAAATTTTCTCAAAAATAATTTAATCCTTACCCTGAACCTGTTAGTTTCAAATACTTACATTTATAAATGCAAATTCAAACTCATTATTACTGTTTTATTGAACATTTAAGGTAAAGGGCAGTTGGAGAAGGCAGCTACTTATGCTGACCAGTTTAATGTAAATTTCTGAATAATTTCTTGGAGAGAAGGTATAGAAAACTAATTGATAGTGTGTTCATTTGTTCAAACTTGGTTACCTTTTGTTTCTGCTAAGCATTATGTTAAGTACTAAGGGTACAGTAGTTAACTAGATCCACAGGGCCTCTGCCTTTATGGGGCTGGGGCAGAAGGCCTGGAGAGCAAAGTGTTAGAAGGAAGAAGCACTGGTATAAGCAGGGCTTGCCATGCCTTCTTGAGAAAGCAATATTTAAGATGATTGGAAAGAAGGCAGGGAAAAGGGTGGGAAAAACACACTCAGGTTCTGCAGCAGGAAGTTATTAAGCACATACTAAGGAGCCGTTGGAATGGTTGGAGTATACATAGATTGGAGAGGGTTAACATGAAATTGGAGATAGATGGGATACTGATTTGCAGGCCCTTGTAGACAATGTGAGGATTTTAATCTAATGGCACTGGGGATCACTGACAAGTTTTACAGCAGAGAAGTTACATGGTCATAATGTTCATTTTAAGAAAGATGTGTAGCTGCTATGTGGATACTATTGGTTGAGTCTGGTGTTAGTGTAGCTGTGGGTATACTAGGTTTAAGGTAATTCAATCATAAAGAGTAGTTATCTTGGACAGTGGTAAGATAGGGTTTAGCATCTTGCATTTGAGGCAGGAGCAAATAGCACTTGGAAAATAGATGTGGTGGTATGTATGTGTCTTAAAAATACTCTTTCTAGAAAAGCTACTATTAAAACTTGTATGTGAAGGGATCCTTGATGGTTTTCTATTGTCTGTTTAAAGATAACCAGAGTAAGGTGCTCCTTTACTTACAATGGGGTTATATCCTAATGCCCCAGTAGAAAATATGGTAAGTTGAAAATGTGTTTAATATATATAACCCTCTGAATGTCATAGCCTAGCCCTGCCTGCTTTACATGTGTTCAGAACACTTATTCTACAGTTGGGCAATTAAGTTTCATGTTAAGAATATTGCTTTCCTCTGCTTTTCACCAGAAGCATGAGACACAGATAGGTGTTTTATTTTTATAGAGTGGAAGAGAGGGAAAGACAGAGAAACATCCATGAGAGAAATATTATACATTGGTTGCCTGCTGCAAGCACTGACTAGGGGAGGAGCCTACAACCAAGGTATGTGCCCTTGACCGGAATCGGCCCTTTGGATTGCAGGCCGATCCTCTATCCAGAGCCAAACCGGCTGGGGCCAGATGGGTGTTTGTAAACATTATGGGATGTGAAAACATACAGTACCCAAAAAACACTGGCAACACAGTGCAGTGTGGTATTGCTTATCCTCATGATCGCATGGCTGACTGGGAGCTGCAGCTTGCTGTACAACATCATGGGACTATCATGCCTACCTGGCTCTAGCGCAGGAAAATACTGAAATTCAAAAATTGAGGTATGGTTTATACTGAATGCTTATCACTTCTGCACCATCATAAAGTAAAAGTTGAACCACAAGTTGGGGACCACCATAAGTTGGGGACTGTGTAGAAGAGATTTTTCTTTCAGAAACTTCGTGTTGTGTCATCCCACAAACAGCCCCTTTTGCTACGTATGGGCCACTCCTGAGGTTTGACTTGTAACTCCATTTTATTTCTTTAAATCTACAGTCATAAAATTTTAAAAAGGGATACCAAAATTAGTTACAAACCTTCAACCTGCAGAGAAAAACAGTATTAAATTATATTTGTTACATTTTTATCACTTGTGGACAAGAGGAAGAACTAGTGATTAAAACACAGAAATCGGTTTCGTGTAATTTTTTTATTAAAAATACTTTTGATACATATTTACAGATATAATTTTAAGAGAACCTCAGGCTGTGCATACAAAAGTGGGCTTTGGCTAGCTTCACTGAGTGAAAGTAATGGTAGACAAACCCTGATCTGCCTGAGGGTAATCATTTAAGAGCAGCTAACATGTATCTTAACAGTTATTCTTTTAAGAGCTGTTTTAAGTCTTGTTCTTATATCATTGTAGATGAGCATATGAACCAAGAAAAGTGTTAACCTGTAATTAAAAAAAATCACATTTGTGCTATAGGAAAAGGTTTTTATGACAATGATGATTTAAATGTCTAGGACTCATGGCAGTTCTTCAGAAAGGAAAATTAAACTCTTCATAAGCTATAAAGATAATAGTTCTACTGGAACTTAAAATTACTTAATCAGGAAAAGTCAAGTGTAAACTTGTTTGAAAGAAAATATATTCATATGGTAATCTGATCATGGTTTAAATGATCTTAAGTCACTTGCCTTATGAGGTGGAAGGTCTTTTTCATTATGTGTACCTATAATCAAAGAAGGGTTTTGTAATGCCCCGAGTTGTAATGCATTGGTGCTGGGACTATATTTGCCCGAGGCACACCTTCTATAAGTAGAGTGGGTGGTATTTAAAGTGCAGCTGACCCTTGTTTGTTTAGAATTCTTTAATTCAGATTGGTGTGCGACCTAGTGGTTTATAATAAATATGGATAATTTATTACCTTTCAAAAGATAATTGTAAAATGGACATATCTCAAATGGAGTTAACTCATATTTACAACAAATCAAACAAAAACAACAATCATAGAATTACAGGGTCACATTTTAATTCCTGAATTGTACAGTTCAGCATTAATATCACCACATGTATACAAATGGTGTAAAACAAGTACAGTGGTATTTTTAATACAAAATAAACATCTGTTTTATGGAAAAACTATACTTCATATCTACACAGACAGCCCATCTTTTCCAAACAATAGCTAAAATTAAAATTAACTACAAAATCTCCAAAACAGGGAAAACTGCTTTAGTTTAAACTATTCCAAGAAAAATGGGCCCATAACACATTACAGAGGTGACCTAAAGATTGCAGCTGGAATTGCTATTTTTACTCCCCCCCCCCCCCCCCCCCCGCCCCAATGCATTAAATTGTAGTTTGGGGGATGTTTTTCCTCAGCATTATCTCAGATCATAAATGAGCAAACTAACATTAAAATATTTACAGTTAACTTGCTTGTTCTAAAAATAAAAACCTCAACTGTTTGCCTCAACTTATTTTAAAATCATTTACGTACATGGAATGTGCTTTTACTCTTTTAAAAAAAGCAGCTTTCATATTACACCCTTGTTTGTTTATGGAAAAGCTTCATGTGCTGCATACTGACTGACAATGAAGTAACTTCTTGGATCAAAATGGTCTCTGGATAAAGTTCTGCTTAATTCAGCACTGTTCTTTGTATGTCAGTCTTTATAAATTACACTTTAAAAATTGCCTGCAGCTCTGGAGAGACCATTTACTAACAAAGCAGAAGGTAACTTCAAAGTGTCTTCCACAAAAGACTATACTGGTAGGCAGTTAAAAACCTTTTATTCAATCTACTTCCATTTCTGGAGAAAATAATTTTGGAATACTATTGTACTGATTCTAGGCATCTGTTATCTCAGAAAGTGCTGATTTTCAAGTTACATTTACAAAACTGTCCATTTTGAATCCAGCTTGTTTTCATCAAAATACATACGAAAATTCCTGGTGTAGAAAACTCAACATGTGCTGTAATACAGGGTGTACTTCCCTCCAACTACATGGAAAGGCTGAATTTCTGTTAAATCTTCAGAGAAATGGTCTCAACAGATTCATTTTTTAAAAATGATAGTTGAATCTGTTTTCCATAAAAACTTCTTTTAAAAAGAGGCAACTGATTAACAGAACATGGCCAGCACCATTATACAAGTTGGGTTTTCAAATGAAGTTTTATAATTGTTTCTACATCGATGCCCCCCTGGAGCAACCCTGTGTTGTTATCAACCTTGTCCCGCCCCACAAACCATCCCCAAACCTGAGAGCTTCCTTGCTGAGAAGCTATCTCCCAGGTTCTGGCTATTAACCTTTTTTTTTGGTCAGCCTATAAGGCAAACCCCTTAATTACTAGCAAGCAATCAAATTCCTGGGAAGCCTGTTTTTTTGTGTTTTTTTTTTACAGAAGTAAACTCTCCTTGCTGATACACCGAATGTCTGTTGCTACTCCTTGTATTTTTGTAAGTTCAAGTGAGAAAGCTTTCTGATTCAGATTTTCAGCTCATTAACAGTTGCAGCATTTTAGGGAGACCACATGTTGAAGGTCCCCAGTAAATATTTTATGAGCCAAGGCGAGGTCTTTTCCTGGGAGATGTTTCTTCTTCTTCCTCTTCCTCTTCATCATCTGGATAATCCACTAAACCAACCAAACTTCCCTATTGGAAAATAAAAAATATAGAGAAGAAGGGAGATATAGAGTTAGAAACATCAATGAGAGAGAAACATCGATCAGCTGCTGGGGATATGCCTGCACTCAAGGTACATGCCCTTGACCGGAATTGAACCTGAGGCACTCTATCCACCGAGCCAAACGGATTTCAGCTCATTTTAGGTTTTCTACTATGGCATTTCCCACATCTTGTTTTTTTACCCTTTTACTAACAGTTGCCCTATGTTTATGCCTTTTTATTTTAAGCTGATTTCTCTTTCCCATTTTGGGGAAAGGATGGTTACATATAATAAAAATATAAGTAAAAAAAGTTTCATATAAAATTTAAACTTGTTCATAAAAAAGTAACCAAAAGGAAATATATTTGCTATGCTAATGACAAAACTAAAGATTCATATCAAGAAAACATAAACTAACTTTTAAAAGGCAAGACTCTGAACAGACATCTGAAATATCACTGGAGGGAGCGGATGTTTACAAATATGATGATGCAGATAAGTAAAATGAAATTCTATAGTCATCAACAATGTTTTAATAAATTATTAAAGACAAAATCAGGAAAACTGTTTATAGAAAGATCTCAATTACTAGTATATGTCAGATAAAGAAACCCACAGACCTAAAGAAAAATCACATGTTAGCAGTCATCTGATGACTTGTGCAACATTTTCTTTGAGATTACTTTTATTATCCAAATTTTCTTCACTAAACATAATTTTTGCAGATGAGAAAAAGAAAAGTTTATGTGCAGAGAGGGTTCACATACCTTGGTGGCTGTTACTGATGAAGGCAAGGTTGCCGTCTTGGAAGAGGATCCATTGGAACTTGCTGGTGGTGCCTGTGCCATTACAGATTTACTGTTTGTACTGTTGGCACCATTAGCAGCACTGGCCGAGTGGGAGAAAGTAAATTTGAAGCTACCACAAGATGTCCTTTTTGGAAGGTTTTCCTTGTCTTCACTTTCTTTTGCTAAAAGTAAAATTTTGAACTTATATCAGTAAATATTGCTAAGTCAAAGCATCCCAAAAGAACAGTAATTTAAAAACTTAGAAAGCACTGTCTTTGTAAGAGCTAAAAGAGTAGAAGAGTATGATATGTAGAGAGATGTCTTTATTAGTTGGAATCTTAGAAATCTCAGGATTAGAAAGGACCTTAAGAATATTAGGTCTAGTAATAATTAATGTCGTTTTCTAATACTTTTTTTAAAAAATAAATCTTTATTCAGATTATTACAAATGTGATCCTCTTCCCCCCCTCAATTGCTCCCCTTCACCAGGTTCCCACCCCACCCTCTGTCCTTTCCCCATCCCCCATTGTCCTCATCCATAGGTGCACAGTTTTTGTTCAGTCTCTTCCCGCACCCCCACTCCCCTTTTCCCTGAGAATCGTCAGTCCACTCCCCTTCCATACCTCTGATTCTATTATATTCAACAGTTAATATTGTTCATCAGATTTTTAAATTCCCTTGGTTTTTAGATTCACTTGTTGATAGCTATGTATTTGTTGATCATAATTTTTATCTTTATCTTCTTCCTCTTCCTAAATAACCTCCTTCAGCAATTCATATAATTCTGGTTTGGCGGTGATGAACTCTTTTAGCTTTTTTTTATTTGTGAAGCTCTTTATCTGTCCTTTGATTCTGAGTGATAGCTTTGCTGGATAGATTATTTTTGGCTGTAGGTTCTTGTTATTCATCACCTTGAATATTTCTTGCCATTCCCGTCTGGCCTGCATGGTTTCTGTTGAGAAATCAGCTGACAATCTTATGGGTACTCCTTTATAGGTCACTACCTGCTTTTTTCTTGCTGCTTTTAATATTCTCTCTTTGTCTTTTGCTCTTGGAATTTTAATTATGATATGTCTTGGTGTGGTCCTCCTTGGATTCCTTTTGTTTGGGGTTCTGCGGGCTTCCTGGACTTGTAAGTCTATTTCTTTCCCCAGGTGGGGGAAGTTTTCTGTCACTATTTCTTCTAGTACTCTTTTGGTATCTTGCTCTCTCTCTTCTGGAATCCCCATAATTCTGATGTTGGTTCACTTGAAATTGTCCCAGAGGTTTCTTACACTATCTTCAACTTTCTGGATTCTCTTATCTTCTCCCTTCTACAGAGGAGTGTCCTCTGGCTCTTTGTGTTCTAAATCTTTGTCTTGATTCTTGCGATCTTCCAGTCTGTTTTTAGGACTTTGTATTGAGTATAATATTTTTTATTTCAGACAATGTTTTCTTCATTTCTTGTTGATCCCTTATTATTTCTAGTTGCTCCCTTTTCATATCCTCATAGGTCTCATTTATTTTATCGGCCTTTTTTAGGATATTGTTGAATAACCTTATAACTGTAGTTTTTATTGTTTTTTTTTTTTTTTTGATTAAGCATGCTAGAATTTATTACATATTCGAATCTGGACTCACACTATGGCTGACGCAGCAGCCGGCAAACACCCAGGTGAGAGCCCCGATGGAGGGGCAGTCCCTCCAGAGCGCTCACACAAAAACACAGACAAACACACACCTACCGTGGCCAGTCAGGCTCTTCGGAATGGGGGTCCCTCATGGTCCTGGCTGGGGATTCCAGTCATGATCCCCAAGGACCACCAGGGAGCCGAGTCCGATGCAATAAACAAAAGAGCCATCTCCATGCTAGCATGGGCTATTCCACTCATGCCGGCAGCCTGGCGGAAGAGAGCATAACTGTAGTTTTGAACTCAATGTCCAATCTTTTCTTTTCCTCCATCTCCTTCCTTTGTGTCCTTCTTCTTGTCTGCATTTTAGTTGTTTCCCTGATTTGATGGAATAGCTTTGTGTGCTATGTGTTCTGGTAGAATCCAGTAGCACAGCCTTCCCAGTTACCTGCAGTGGACAGTCTTGGTGTAGCCCTTTGTGGGCTGTGTGTGCAGTCTTGTTGTTAAGCCTTGCTTATTGTTGGTATCACTGGGAAGCGTTGATCTCCAAGCCAATTGGCTGTGAGGATCAGCAGTGTCTCAGCTAGGAGGGTTTCCGTACTCTGCTTGAATAGGGCGGAGTCTCTGGGTGGCGCAGACAATCTTTGGTTCCCTGTCAGTCTCGCCTTAGAAAAGTCCTGTTTGTGGAGAGTTTTGGAAGATTGGTTGCAGGCGCACGCACCTCTTTGGTAAAGGCGCAGACAAGCTTTGGATTCTGGCCAGTCCCTCCTTAGAGAAAGCCAGCCTCTGGGAGAGCTTCGGTGCTCAGCCACAGGTAGGGCAGAGTCTCGGGTTGGTGCAGACAAACTTTGTTTTCCCTTCGGCTCCTCCCCAAGTCCCGCAGTAATGGCCTCTGGCTTCACACACCTCCAAGAGATCTCTGTCCACTGCCCGAGTCTGGCCTCTCCCTGTCTGGGGCCGTGTATCAGAGCAATAGGGTGATTCTGTTTTCCTCTCGGACAAGAAAGCCAGGAGTAAGCCAGTAGCGAACTCAGCCCGGCCCGCCCTCTCTGCGTGCAGGGAGTAAGTCAGCAGCAATCTCGGTCCGGCCCTTCCTCTCCGCGCCGGGATTAAGCCAGCGCCTTTTCGCGCACACAGTTCTTTGTACCTTCACAGTTCCTGAGGTTCAGTGTGCCTTCTCTCTCCTTCCCAGATGGCAGAGCCTCCTCTCAGCCAGCTGTCTGGTGCTTCAGGGCAATGCCTCCCCTGTTTTTCAGTTCTAAATTCAAATTTGTTGTGGTAGGCTGCATTTGGGTGTCTACCCTATGCCGCCATCTTGGTTTCTCCCTTGTTTTCTAATACTTTTTTAAATCGAATTTATTTAAACAATACAACAAAATTTAATCAACAGTATAGTTGCCGTTGTTTTCTACTACTTGTGCCCAACGCTCAGGAAGCATTTTAATCCCTCTGTTGTAAAATTCTTGTGATTTTGATGCAAAAAATTCGGTCAATGCATTTTTGAGGCATTCTTCATTATTAAATTATTTTCCAAGAAGACAGTTTTGCAAAGAACGAAACAAATGGTAATCGGAAGGGGCAATATCAGGAGAATATGCAGGTTGAGGGAGAACTTCCCATTCCAACTGGCGCAGTTTTTCAGCAGTGATTCTTGCAGTATGCGGTCGTGCGTTATCGTGGTGAAGAATTACGCCCTTCCAATTAATCAGCGCGGGTTCTTTTTCTCTTAAAGCTTGGGCTAACTTTTCCAATTGGGCACTACACACTGCACTTGTAATGGTTTGGTTAGATGGTAAAAGTTCATAATGAAGAATTCCTTTAAAATTCCACCAAACACACAACATCACTTTTTTCGCATGCAAGTCAGGTTTTGGCGTGGGCTGCGGAGCCTCATTTTTGTCCAACCATTGAGGCCGCCTTTTCAAATTAACATACAGCACCCATTTTTCATCTCCGGTAACAATTTCCTCTAAAAACAGCAAACAGTTTTGACGAGAGAGGAGCGAACTGCAAATTGTGACTCTTTGATTACGGTTGTTGTCTGTCAACTCATGAGGAACCCATTTTCCAAACTTTTGGACTTTGCCAAGTGCACGCAATTGATTGGAAATTGTTTTTTGTGAACAATTTAAAGTTGTCGCAAGCTCTTGTTGGGTAATTTGAGGATTTTGCACCAAAAGAGCTTGAAGAGCTTCTTGATCAAAATTGGACACACGGCCTCGACCACTCCTGTCATCTAATGAAAAATTTCCCTCGCGAAATTTCTCAAACCAACGCTGGCATTTTCTGGCGCTAACTGCATCTTGACCAAGAGCACTGCAGGTGTTTTTTGCAGCCTCACTTGCTTTTCTTCCTAATTGGAACTCGTAAAGCATGCAGTGCCGAATATGGTCTTCATCTGCCATCTTCTTAGCCCTAGTTTTGCAACAAAAACCAAACCAAACACAAACTTTCAAGCAAAACTTGTTAATTGCACTTCACACGTTCTATAGTTACCACGTCAACGCCAAGCAAGATTTTAAACGAATGTTAAAACACGACATTAATTATTACTAGACCCGATATAACAAATCAGCCATCCTATGCTAGAATTCTACACAGCCGGATACAGGACACTTCCAAAGACTCATTAATTGCTTGACTCTGTCTCACTCCCTGACACTACTTCTATTGTAAATACCTAAAAACCTATCCCACAAGTTAGTATTTCAAATGCCTAAAGAAAATGATATGATCACGTCTATCATTCTTTTATTTCCTGACAATACCAGGTTCCTGTGTGGGTTTCTTTTATGAGATAGGGGTCTACCATCCTTTAACACCTAGTTGGTACTACATTTCTTATATGACTAGAGGCCCAGTGCAAGAATTCATGCATGGGTGTGATCTGGCCACCCCACTGCACTCGGGGCTGATTGGGACAGGCTGGCTGGGGGTCGGGGCTGCAGTTGGTTGGATGGCCACCCCACCCCCGATCAGGGTATGTGTGTGTGGGGGTCCTGAAAGGGGAGTGCAACCAGTTGGGGGAGGAGCTGTGAGTGGCTGGTACCCCCCCTTCCCCCCGCCCCATCCCTGTTGAACTCCCAATTGAGGGAACAATTTGCATATTAGCTTTTATTATATAGGATTCTTAACTGGACAGAGTACTTCAAGTTTTCAGCACAGTGCCTATGAGTAAAGGTAGAAGAATCTGGCTACTAAAAGGTGCCTATTCCTTAGGACATTGTAACATGCTATTTGCCTCCGTAGCCTAAAATAAATGGAACTCATGGTATTAATGAGTGGAGAATGAATGAGGCTGAGAGAAATTTTAGGGGAAAATGTAATAACTCAGTGAAACCTAACAAATAAGAAATACCTTTAGAAATCTCACATTCAAAATCACAAACTTAGAGTTGCAGATGAGAGGTAAGATGGCGGAAGAATAGATGGGCGGATTCTGAGCCCTGTCCTGAAGCAGAAAAAGAGAGCAGCTGATGGTCTTCTGCTGTGAGTGTTTATTAGCAAACTGGGAGACAGCGAACACCAGAAGAAACTGCTGGGGGGCCGGTGACAGAGGTACCCCTCACAGGGAAGCAAAATCACAAACTTAAAGTCTAGAAAATGCTTTTTCCTTTTTAAGATATAAATTTTTATTAAACATTTAGATGACATATGCAGAATAGTACTCCAATAATGGCAATTTCTCAGGACAGAGAATTAAAGTGATAAATTCTCTGGAAAGATTGGAAGTATTATTTTTATTTCTCTTGATGTTGTATCTATGAAACCTGCATGGGGGGAAGTAGAAGAGGGTATAGAGGAGATAAATGGTGATGGAAGGAGACTTGACTTGGGGTGGGGAACACATAATGCAACATACCGATGTATTATAGAACTGTATGCCAAATAGCTATATAATTTTATTAACCAATGTCACCACAATAAAAAATAATAAAAAGAAACTTTTATAATGATTTTAAAATTTCGAAGAGCAAAGTGACTTCAAGCTTAGTTTCCTTGGCAGTAAAAGGTGGAGAGCTCTGTAAAGTTTCTATGGATCTGTATGTGTCTGTTATCATTGGAGATTCAGAATAGAAAAGCAGCCAAGACTGTTCACAGAAGGCAAAGCATAAGAAGGCAATGCAATTTCTAAATAGCAAATAAAGACTGTCATAAAACGGCAAGCTTCAGAAAACCATAAAAAAATTCCAAATTTAGAAAAAGTGCATAATTTGAAAATTGTGATTCAGCATAAACTGTCTTTTATGCTTTATAAACAAGGACTGACTTTTATAAGCAAATGAATAATTTCTGTGTTAGTTATAAGAGGGTGCACTATTTAAAAATTCAAAATTTTAATACCTTTCTTAGTCTCCATAAATTTTTCATAGCTATCTGGAAAATCATCTTCTGGCTTAGATTTTTCCACTGGTGCCACAACTGCTTTTCCTTCCTCCTCTTCATCTTCATTAAACCACATTTCTTCATCCTCTTCCAAGGCTTTTGGATCTCTGCGAAATCTGTTACTACGCAATATAGATGGTACACTGTAAGAAACATACCATAAATATTGAGAATGACAAAATGCATATGATTAAAACTGATAATAATTATGTATAATCTAGAAGAGCTGAAATAACTTTAGTTGGTTAATATTTATTAAAATTTATCTTGAGTTACAATATGGAACAATAATTTTTCATATAAAAATTTTGAGATAGGGAGGATATCTACTCTCCTACATATAATCCTGTCCTGTCTAATGATGGAACGAAAATTCCTGGGTAAATTTCAAATCCAATTATATATGATTTTGGACATAAATTGATATGCTATAAATGCAATATACTTAAACAATACCTGTTCAGTTTCTGATTTTGTCTGTCTTTTTCTTGCTCATATTTAGTCTTCAATCCTTTGAATGTCTGAACATATTCAATCGATTCAAGTGCTTTATAAAAATTTTCAACTATATGTGAAGTAAGAGACTTGATATCTTCCTGTATAAGCACAAAATTTAGATTTCAAATATAATACAATGCTTGTTATGAGAAAGACTTAAAAATTTTAAAAATAATTCCAAAACTGATCAAAAAAGATTTTTCAAAATCACCTTCCAAAAATAAATGTTCTAGTTTCTTTATACATGAGCCAGGACTCCACAGAAAACTTGGAAAAAAGGAGAAGCAATTCACTGGAGCCCTTCTGGGGGATTATAAAGAACATTTCAAAAGTAAATGGGTTTAATTTATGCTTTCTGTTCATTTTTCACATTTATGTAGCACTTTGCAATTTCACGTAATAAGCTCTATTATACCGATTTTACAGAAAAGGAAAATTGAGGCTCTGAGAGAAGATGAATGGCCTGATCAAGAGCAAATTTTGAAATTGCATTTTCAATAAATATTAGGTATTAAGAACTTCTCATTTAACATTATACCCTATCAAAATTTATAAGCCTTATCTAAATTATACACATAAGATACCTTAGACTTCATTACCTATACAGATCGAATAAACTATTAAGTTGAATACTAGTTTATTCCCAGTCTTCCTTCCAATGGTATAATATACATGAAATAAACTGGTAGTGACAATTTCTAAGTTCCAAATGAATCTTTCTAAATGATCATTGCAATGAATGGGTACAAAGCAGGCTCATTACTTAAAATAATTAAAGTTGTGATTCAGGACATTAATACTATAACAAGAAATACAAGGCCACTTCTTTAAATGATTTACCATAATCTGATTGTATAAAGGATTTTAAGTCTTTAAATGAGTTTTCCTGGACAGCTAAAAAAAAAAAAAAAAGCAAAGAAGAAAAATTAGAAGTCTAGGTAAAAAGGTCTGTGTTTACACTCAACAAAAAGATAAATTTTAGGATTCAATGTACATTTATCAACCATTTGTATTTTCAGAAAGACAAAATCAACCACAGGAATAGGAATGGGTATGTCAACCCTATGATTTATTAGTATCTCATTAAAAATCTTAAAGGAGAGATCCAAGATGGCTGCGCCCAGGTGAACACCTAGCTGCAGCCGCACACAACAATTTCAATAAAATACAACTAAAATATAAAACGGACATTGCCCAGAACTACAGGAAGGTTGACTGACTGGAAATTCTACAGCGAGAAGCAAGGAGAAAACCAGAAGGAGGCGCGGAGGAGCTGGAAAAGCCCAAGGTATGGAGACGCGGCGCGCGCGGAGAGGACGGACCTGAGAGGAGGGAGGCCGAGTGCCTGGCGGGCGTTCCCCAGCGGAAAGGAGATAAAACTCCGACTGTGCTGGGCCCCCGACTGCTCTGAACCCCAGTTCTGGGCCGGACCCCGGGGACTCAGGCTCAGCCATAGGGAGCCGGGCTGTAAGGCGGAACCCCGGGGAGAGGCGGAAGGAGGTCCCGGAGGCACGCACACTGCGCACAGAGAAGGGACGGTCGGCTGTGCCGGGGGATTGCCCTGACGGGAAGGAGACTGGGGCTCCAGACTGCTGTGAACGCCACCTCCTACTCCACTTCCAACTGAACTGAACCCCAATACCGGGCTCATTGGGGGAGAGCATAGACTGTTTGGCAGCAGGCGAAAATCGAGGGCGCCTTTCTCTCAGAGGCGCCGGCAGCGAGCACTGAAGGACCTGCATAGGGCGGGGCTGACAGAAGCCAAAGCTGCAGGCTCCACCCTGAAACCCCGCCCCATCTGTAACTGTGAAATGAGACAACAAAATAGATCACAAACGAAAGAAATGGAGGACAAAAAGCGTCTGGATATAGAGTTCAAATCTACGCTTATAAGGTTTTTCAAGAATTTCCTAGAAAAGATGGATAAGGCCTATGAGGATATGAAAAGAGATCAACTAGAATTAATAAGGAGTCAACAAGAAATGATAAGGGATCAACAAGAAATAAAGAATACATTGTCTGAAATAAAAAATATTTTACAGAGTCCTAAAAATAGGAGGGATGATCGCAAGAATCAAGTCAAAGATTTGGAACATAAAGAGCCAGAAGACACTCCTCCACAGAAGCTAGAAGGCAAGAGAATCCAGAAAATTCAAGATAATGTAAGAAACCTCTGGGACAACTTCAAGCGAACCAACATCAGAATTATGGGGGTCCCAGAAGATGTGAGAGAGCAAGATATCGAAAACATACTGAAAGAAATAGTGACAGAAAACTTCCCCCACCTGGTAAAAGAATTAGACTTACAAGTCCAGGAAGCGTACAGAACTCCAAACAAAAGGAATCCAAAGAGGACCACACCGAGACACATCATTATTAAAATTCCAAGAGCAAAAGACAAAGAGAGAATATTAAAAGAAGCAAGAGCAAAGAAGGTAGTAACCTATAAAGGAGCACCTATACGATTGTCAGCTGACTTCTCAACAGAAACCATGCAGGCCAGAAGGGAATGGCAAGAAATATTCAAAGTGATGAATAGCAAGAACCTACAGCCAAAAATAATCTACCCAGCAAAGCTATCACTCAGAATCGAAGGCCAGATAAAGAGCTTCACTAATTAAAAAAAGCTAAAGGAGTTCATCACCGCCAAACCAGAATTATATGAATTGCTGAAGGGAGTTCTTTCAGAAGAGAAAGTAAACAAAGATAAAAATTATGAACAACAAATACGTAACTATCAACAAGTGAATCTAAAAACCAAGGAAATTAAAAAAATCTGATGAACAATATTAACTGTTGAATATAATAGAATCAGAGGTATGGAAGGGGAGTGAACTGATGATTCTTGGGGAAAAGGGGAGAGGGGAGAGTGGGAAGAGACTGAACATAAACTGTGCACCTATGGATGAGGACAATGGGGAGAGGGGAAAGGGCAGAGGGTGGGGTGGGAACCTGGTGGAGGAGAGCAATGGTGGGGGGGGGGGGGGAAAGAACATTTGTAATAATATGAACAATAAAAACTTATTAAAAAAAAAAAAAAGAAATAGGGGAGATGACAGCCAGAAAAAAAAAAATTTTTTTTAAAGGAAAAATGTGTAAAAGTTAATTTGATTCATTAGAAAGTGTACTGTGAAGCTGGGTTCAGATACTTGGTGAGTTTGTGCTAGTTAAACAATATTTTTAGAAAAATAACAACAAACAAAACAAAAAACCCAATATTTCCTCTTTTCTAAAGACTAAAGATAGTAGTTCTATCCTCTTCATCCTTTTGAGTATCATACTCTTCTTAGCAAGTGACCAATATTAGAAAAATAATCCAGTTGCTCAAATAATCTCCATGTGAAAATAGCAGGTCATCAATAGAAATCTGATTCATCAGCAACAAAACTAGAAAATGAATTTCGAGCTTTAACTTTTTTTCTCTCTAAAGTTCTTTCTAACCATGTGGCCACTTTCCCTGTTGGTATCACAAATCTTTTGTTGTCTGAAATTGAGTTGTAACATAACTTCAAACCCTGACTGTTATAACTACATGGATCCTCTTGAATAGATTAATTACTTTGGGCATCTCAAGTCCCTCATCTGTAAAATAAGGTAGTTGGAGTAATCCATCTAACTCCCTGATCTCTTCAACTTAAAACTCCATAATATCCTATTTTTATGCATCTCATATGAGTGTCTAACAAATAAGTTATTTTCAATCTTTCTGTTCATTTTTATCACTATCCCTACCATTGATCGAAGAGATCACATGAATGGCATGCTTGACTAAAATGTCCACATATGCCAAATGTCATCCTGAAACACTTGGCAAATAAAAATGGAACTAAGATTATAGAATAAATATGGCTTCAAAGACTATGCTAAATTTTACAGTTTAAAAATATTAACGTCACTAAATATATAATTATTCTACTAAGAATTCTTTAATATAAACTTACCACTCTTATAAATTCAAATAACTCAATAACAGCTGAATTTAACAAATTGTACCGAGTTCCATTATCCAGAAGAGCATTTATAACTGGCTCAAAAAGATTTCCCTTTGTGATGTAACGATTATAAAATTCATCTTTAAGGCCAATTATCCGCCGCATAAAACGAAGAGCACCTAATTAAAAATAAGACAGGGAACAAGTCAATGGTCTTACTAATATTAATTATACAAGGATTTTTAAGAAAAATAATGCATATAGTCTTCTAGAATAAAAAGCAAAATTGTGCACTAAAAATTATTTGGCTTTGAAAAAAATAGGGAAAGATCATTCAAAACCTGTACAAATTAGTAGCCAGAGCTGCTAATAATAAAAACAACCCCAATAATTGGCTATTGGAAGATAGATAAACTACCCAGGCAGATAGCTCCATAGTAAAGATATTAAAAAACACACAAAACCCTCAAAACACAAATGTCTGTAATACTCAGAACAGTGGGGGTATAACAGATAATATACAAAAGCACTAAAACATAAAAAATTTTGTCAAAAAATTGTAAATTAACACACAAAGGGAATAACCACATTTTCCATCATTAGTTTGATAACATTTAAAAAAAACAAAACAGTAATGCCGAAACCGGTTTGGCTCAGTGGACAGAGCGTTGGCCTGCGGACTGAAAGGTCCCAGGTTCGATTCCCATCAAGGGCATGTACCTTGGTTGCAGGCACATCCCCAGTAGGGGGTGTGCAAGAGGCAGCTGATTGATGATTCTCTCTCACCAATGTTTCTAACTCTATCCCTCTCTCTTCCTCTCTGTAAAAAATCAATAAAAATATTAAAATAAAAAAAACAGTAACTTCAAGTGCTAGAAGAATGTCAAGTGCTTTATTCTTTGGAAAAGAAATCTGGAAGTTATATGTTAAATTAAAATTTAAAAGGACATTAAAATATATAAACATTTTGTCTTGGCAACCCCATTATTGGGAATCTATCCTATGGAAAAAATAAACTAGTACATAAAAGATTTACTACCATGTTGGGAGTGGCAAAATACTCAAAGTACTCTAAAATTTTGCAATTCATGTATTAGAGAAAGGTAAAATAAGTGTGGAAGAACCACCCTAAGAAATATTACTCAACTGTGTTTAGGAAACAAAAATTGGTTCACACCATATCCACTTTCCTACAGTAATATTAAGGGACTTATAAGTGTGTTAGGATAGGCCCGTTTTTGTAAAAAGAAAATAAAAAAAACCCGTGTGTGAATATGTTTATGTAAATTTGCACAAATATGGAAAATAAACAGTACAGGTAGTGAAGACTTTAAGGCCTTAAAAATAAAAGAAGTATTAGGCAGATGAACCTTTCTCTATACATTAAGTTAATGCTTATGTTTAAACTATAATTTTTATGCTCAGAAAATACCCATATAACTCTTTTTACTTGGTAGGAGAAGAAAGCTTCTTTATTTCTATTTGCAATGAAATTATGAAGAGGAAAGAAAAATTTAGTTTTCCAAAAATCAACATTGTTGCAAATATTTTACAAGTTCAATAAATAACCTGAGTTACACAACAAAAATATATCAAGACCCATATTTCAAAAATATAGAATCCCTACTAAATGACAATTTGATGAAGCAGATATAAAAGATAGTAGGACTAGTTCTATTAGTAAAATACTATCTTTGCACAGGGATCCCAATTAATAAGCTAATTGAATCTAAATGTGAGCAAATATATGTGGGTAGGGAAGCACTATGACCTATTCCTGTTATCCATTAAATACAAGATCAGTATTTCTCATAATTTCTCATAATCATCTTAATAGCAAATATTCTGCTAAAAAATAAATTTACATGGGTAACTTTGGCTTTTATCTCTATTAAAAATATTGTTCCTTAAAACATTTTACTAGACCGTTCACTTAAATTGTTACTTACACAATGCCAGGAAAGTGTGCTTTGAATTCATCAAGACCAAGACTCTTCTTAGCAAGTCCTTGTTCATAATATAGTTTTTTATGTGATATGTGTGATGTTCCACACAAAATGTGAGTAGCTCTAAAATTAAAGCAAGCAGCTGTGCTGTTTGATAATTATCTACAAAGAAAAGTCATCACATGAAAATCAAATATTGCAATACATCTCAATAAAAAGAATAAAGCTCATATCCTATATTTTAGAACAAAAGTAAAATTATATTTCCTCCTCATTTTTATATCAATTAAAAAAGATATAGATTTTTACTTTTTCATTAGGTAGACTCTCCAGAAGCATTGTCAATTTTACCTAGTTACTATATACTTTTCTAGTAATTAGCAAATAAGAGATTAAGAGCCAGTCATGTACACCAAATTTCTGTATAAAATATTTAATAATGGTAAGAGGGAAAAAAACCTCAATAAAAGTTTACAAACATGATAATAAAACCCTCAATGAACTGAGATTTTTCTTGATAATGTTTCTTTAATACATACTACTATAGTAAATATTAATAAATCTATAAAAGGGTCCACAGTAAAAGAGAATGTACCTTGAACTTTTTGCCTAAAATAGAGCAATGCAAATTTCCCAAGAAAAATTAATATGCTTTCTTTAAAAATATCTTTAAGGAAAGGACATTTCTGGCTACTTGAATATCAAGTGAAAAATGTTACATCAGGTTTTTTTTAAAAATACTTATCTTTTTAACATCAAACCATAATACCCATGAGAGGCCTACTGAAATATACTAGCTTTATTTTTAAGAGGCTTTGGTTTATACATTCATGGAATGATTTCAAACTGCTTCCTGAGCATCAAAATTGAATATAATTGAAGGGCTTACATAGGTAATTACCTACACCTATTACAAAAGTTTTAGATAAGAAAATATTAAACTGTGAGCAATTTATGGAATCATTAATTTCATAGAAAAAAAATAACTGACATCACCTTGGTACAACTATTTCATTTTTTTAGTAATAAACTAATATTCTTTTAAATAACAGAATGACCATTAAATATACAAAATGGAATTCCAATATTTCAAAGATCTTTTCTACTTTAAATCAAGTAAAGTCTTACTTGCTCTGGACAAATTTGTAAAACAACCAACACTTGAACTAGTACCCTTACAATTAAACTATTTTAATTTCTCAATTACCAAATTTTACTTATAAAAGATTTTGTGACATTGATCTACAATATTAATTAAAATTACTCATCTAATATCTGAACTGTTTCCTTTGAAACTGGTTTTTCTACAGTTTTGATGCACCTGGTAGAACAGACAGGATGTTGGGTACACAAGCTATTTTCTATTCTACCAGGCCCAAGCCTGGTATGTGTGTTACAAGTAAAAGCAAGTGTTTCCATTCAGATTGATAAATAAATTTTAAACATGAGGCTGTTATAAATACTAATTCCTCACTAATTGGTCTTAGTTTACTAGATTTCAAAAATAAGCACAAACTAAATCTCCAATGTCCAGACATCTTCTCAAAAAACAAGTTCTAAATTACAAAAACAAAAAACCTAATTCCAAATGGTTTTCCATTTTCTTTATATTGGAGAAAGTGGAATATTTTCTTTGTAATAAAGAAAAAAAGTGTCTTTTTGGATTCAGTTTTTGTTGAACATATGCCTTTATTATTAGCTTTGTATAAGTATATTATACTCTGAGAAGGAAAAATTTTACTATTTGCATTAATTCATAAAAGAAAAACATATACTTACCGGGACAAATCATGCTGTTTTTGTTAGGTCCAACTATATTATCTAATAAAAAAATTTTTTTAAATCAGTTACTTCAGTAATAATATCTCACACTTCCCTGACACTACAATATGTAAAGCACATAATCTCCTTTACCTACATAATAACCACTAAGAATTAGTTATTATATTCAGTCAAATATTATACCTCTATCTGCAGTTTTTTATAGAACTTGTTACACACAAGAAGATATTGAAAGACAATTATAAATGTTCTCATAAAAAATGAGATTACAACCAGAGATAAGACTGATATGCCAGCTTTTATCTTCTCTCAGCCATCCTCCAACAATCTGAATGTCTATCCATATAGATATTTCTTAAGTTCTATAATAACACAAATGTTAATAATAGATGATTTATGCTTTGAATTTAAAAAAAATGTTTTTATTGATTTCAGAGAGAAGAAGGGAAAGGGAGAGAGAAATATAGAAACATCAATGATTAAAGAGAATTGATCGGGCCCAGCCAGCAAGGTTCAGTGGTTGAGTGTCAACCTATGAACCAGGAGGTCACAGTTCGATTCCCAGTCAGGGTTCATACCCAGGTTGCGATCTTGATCCTCAGTGTGGGGCGTGCAGGGGCAGCTGATCAATGATTCTTTCTCATCATCAATGTTTCTATCTCTCTCTTTCTTCTTTCCTCTCTGAAATCAATAAAAGGCTACTGATTGATTTTTCTCTCTCCCCGCTCCTTTCAAAAATATACTCCAGTGAGGATTAAAAAACAAAAAGCAATGGGTAAAAAGAAAAAAATTGCAGAATATACACAATAGAAATCAATGCATATCAAATTTGAAAACATGAGAAGTAATACATTATACATGTCTTAATAACATAAATGAGCATAGGGGTGATAAACTCCAAATTTAGCATTCCTTCAGGGATATTGGTAGGTGGAGTGGAATGCCAATAGGATGTATATGGATGTCTGTTAAGCTATTATCTAAATATTTCTCTATGCTGGAAATGTTTTATTTTAAATTGAATGTTAAAAGGGTATTTTTTTTAATTTATGTAAATGGAACCATTCTGCAATTTTTTACCCATTTGACTTTACGTTTTTGAGAACTAATCAGATGACAGATCAATATATATTCAATTTCTTTAACTGTCAATATATACATGTACCACATTTTAATTTTCCTACCATGAACAAAGCAACAGAACTCTTGTATCTGTCATGCATATGCAAAAATGTTCCCTAGGATATATACCATACTCAAGAAATAGAATTGATATTATGTGGGTGTGCCTCTTCTACAACTTTATTAGTTTAGTAAACATTCTCTTAACTGACTCAAATTAACTAACAGTCTAAGAGAATATATCCTTCACATATCTCATTTCATAAATCGAGTTATATTCTGATAAGAATCAATGGTTTTGTTTATGCTACGTATATTTGGTAGTATAATTATATTATTTAAATATTGCAAACTGATTTTATACAATAGATTTACAGAATATAGAAATACATAGAAATCAATAAAAATTGTTGCCAAATGAGATGTACATAACTATGAATAACTAATGGGAAATATATAAAACCATAGCAGGTTTTGTGCTTAGACTGCTTAAAAAATAACTTTAGATGGGTCAATGGGGGAAAAAAGGGGACATGTGTAATACTTTCAACAATATAGATTTAATTAAAAAAAATCTTTAGGTTATCACTCCACTTTAATAAACTGAAGCCAAAAATTATAGCTGATGATTTGTGAATATATAAACTACATCAAATAAAGAACTAAGTAAACAGCTTGTCACTTATAATACTTATTTCACTCTTTAAAAACAGAAATCATAATCAGATAAGATACCCTACCCTTTTCATATCTGTCTTCTGAAGTATTGGTCAAAAGTGGTGCTGTGAGGACATGCATACAATGGTTGTAGAAGAAATTTAGAAATTCACTCTTTTCAGTTTTCTGAAACAAAGAATTTAAAAAATACTTTATTAATAACGTATCTTTAAGAATTAGCAGTGTGAAAAAAAAGAATTAGCAATGTGGGTCATACACAAACAATAGACACTTTAAGATACTGTGAAAGAACCAAAAAATTAGTTATATACACCTTAATCTTACTTCTGCAGAATTAAAAAATCAAATCTATTTCATATTCAAATAAAAATGAAAGCAAGAAAAAGATCAGATAGTATTAAAAACATTTGTTCTTAGGAAATTAGAATTTTTTTCAAATATGCTATGATCTGAAATGCAATGAAGAATCTATCAAGCAATATAAGAGTAACTTAACTATTTAAAAGTTGATAACCCTATTTCACAATGTATCCAAATTTGGAAATCCACCAAATCAATTTATCAAGCCACAATAAACGGAACAGAATTTAGATCTATTTTTAAAATGTTTTTGGAAATTTGGAAAATAATGATTTTTTATTTTGTGGGCTACTACTTTCTAATTCAACTGGCCCAATATACTTGTATGTAATATAAAAGTAATACATATGTTTTCTAAATATGAGGAAATTTTATAAAGAAAAAATATCCCATTAGTTTGAGATAATTACTATCGATAATATTTTGGTATAGTTCCTTAAGTCTTTCTATTTTTTTGCATTTTTTACTATGCAGTTGAGACCATTCAGTACACATTGTTTTCTTTAAAAAAATAAAAATAAAAATGAAGGAATGATTAAATAAACAATTCATGTTATAGCTCATATCAATTGTAAGTACTTTTATAAGTATAATTTATTTAAATAATAAAGAGGATATATATATATATTAATTATTGATTTTACACAGAGAGGAATTGAGAGGGACAGAGAGTTAGAAACGTCGATGACACAGAAACATCGACCAGCTGCCTCTTGCACACGCCCCACTGGGGATGTGCCCGCAACCAAGGTACATGCCCTTGACCGGAATTGAACCCGGGACCTTTCAGTCTGCAGGCCGACGCTCTATCCACTGAGCCAAACCAGTCCCGGCAAGAGGATATATTTTTAATGTTTTATTTATACATTACATAACGACAGTTTTGTCAATGACAAAAACATATACAATGGCGATGTTCCAAATAGCCTAGGCGTGTAGTAGGCTATAGTATTTAGGTTTGTGTACATGCACTATATGATGTCGCATATTTTTTCCTTTTTTATTATAATAAAAAACCAACAAAACTTACCTTTTGACCATCTTTACATTTATAGTTCACTAATGTTAAACATATTCACATTGTTGTATATTAATTTTTAAGAAGTTAACATACAGTGATCAAGGGTCATAAACCGAAATGCTAACATCTCACTAAGATTTTCTACATTACAAGATTGTATCTTGCCAAGTGAATTGCTATAGGAATACCATTGCTACTTGAATACCAAGTATACAAATACGTAACTATTTATTGTTTTTCAATATTGTACACATTTTCAAAATTTCTAATTTACAATTATATTTAAAAAACACCTATAGCTGATTAGATCAAAACTTTAAAAAAAAAATCTCAGAATAATTCCTTACATTAGTTGTAGCCAGCATGTTCTCTGGATCGATTAGAGTACGAAGAAGTCCCATTAACTGAACAGCACCTCCTAGCTCAGGATCAGTGTCACAGATCATTTGTTCAATTACTACATTAATGAGAAGGATATCCTGAAAGAAAAAGTTTCCATTAGACCTGGTTTGGAAATACGACAAATATACCAGTTGAAAGAACAAAATCAGAATCACATAGGAAATACCCTCCCAAAGAATGTATAACTTATTTAAGCTCTTTTCTTCCTAATAATGTTTTTTAAAGTTCTATTTAAGCACACTAGAGAAAAAAATTCATATATATATTACACCTTACGATTCGCATATTATACCTTATGATACCATTAATATAGGAAGAGGAAAATAAAGTCATTTATCAGTGATTCTGGTTCACTGGAGGTTCTAACAGATTCTCATTTTAGATTTCAGTGTCAGGTATGAATTTAGAGGTTGAGGAAACAAGCAAGATTACACATGTGATATCTTCTCCACTCCCAAACAAAGTTTATCTCAGCTTCTAACTAGAAAATCATTTCTAGGGAAGAGAAAGAGAGAAAGAGAGAGGGAGAGGGAGGGAGGGAGAGAGAGAGAGAGAGAGAGAGAGAGAGAGAGAGAGAGAGAGAGAGAGAGAGAGGGAGGGAGGGAGGGAGGGAGGGAGGGAGGGAGGGGGAGAGAGAGAGAGAGAGAGAGAGAGAACGTGCGCGCGTGCGCGCTAGCGAATATGAATAACCCAGTACACAATTCTCCACAGGTGAGTGGATGCACATGTGTTATATAATGACCGAATACCAACTATATTTATTGTTATGTTAGCAACATGCTCTTGGGTCTTAATATATAGAGCTACCAAGCAGCTTGCAGCTATAAAGCAGCTTCTGCTTATATTTTTAAAGTAGGAATCTTAAACATTAAATTATGATACAAACTGATCGTGTCAAAAAGTTCTGACATCAACTTGGTGGATTTAAAAAATGTTTATTATTGGGGGAAGAACGGTAGTAACTGAAGAAGATGAAATAAGGGAACTGCATGGAATGAATCAAATGTCTTATATTGGGAGAATTCTGGAAAACTTCAGTATAAAGCAGTCTTTGTTACTATTTTGTTTTGCTAGCCCTGTCCAAACTATATACTTTTAGCCAAAAATAATATATTCCTGTGAATTGTTTATTTATAAACTCAATGCAATAAAGAACCAACAAAACCATGTCATAGCAACTTCTTAAAATTGGAACCCTAGCCCGACTGGTGTGACTCAGTGGTTGAGCATTGACACATGAACTAGGTCACTGGTTAAATTCCAGGTCAGGGCACATGCAGGGGGTTTCAAGCTTGATCCCCAAAAGGGGGTACAGGAGGCAATCAATAATTCTCTCTCATCACTGATGTTTCTCTCTCCTTTTCCCTTTCTCTCTGAAATCAGTGAACAATATACTTTAAAAAATATTAGAACCCTACCCTCTACCATGTTTCCAAATTTGATCACTAGTAAATAAATTATATCATGGCAACAGAGACAGAATGAAATTTCTTCAAAGAGGAATTATGAAACAAAATTACTTTTAATTGTATTATTTATATTACAACTGTAAACCTACTTTTGCCTATCCCGTATAGTTTTACTTTATGGTGTTCCATTAATTCACATAGGCTTTCTTCATTTTTAAAAATTTTTTATTCTCAAGTTCTCTGATTTTTTTTCCTATTGCTTGATCGAGTCTGCTGAAGAAACTATTTAATGATCTTTTTCAGTTCAGTCATTGTATTTTCCAGTTCCAGGATTTCCTTTGGTTCTTTTCTATAATTTCTATCTCTTTGTTGAATTCATTTTGTTTATGTGTTTATTGTTTTCTTGATTTCATTTAGTTACCGTATTTTTCGGACCATAAGACGCACTTTTTCCCTCCCTGCGTCTTATGGTCCAAATATAGCCTACACATATACTTTAAAAAAAAAGTTTTTTTACTTGCCCGGCTCTGTGTGGTCTCTATGTGCTTGCCCGGCTCTAAAATGGTTCTAAATGCTGCTGTTTACAGGGTTGATTACATGTGTTTATGACTGTGATGTTGGGTTTTAATGCACATAAAATATTTTAGGACACTATTTGTTTCAGAATCTTTTTTTCTTCATTTCCCTTCTCTAAAGACTGGTGCGTCTTATGGTCCGGTGCGTCTTATGGTCCGAAAAATACGTTATCTAATTGTCTTCTTGTAGTTCACTGAGCTGCTTCTTTAAGATAATTATTTTGAAATTCCTTGTTAGGTAGTTCAAAGTTCTCCATTTCCCCCCAAATTTACTTTTGTATTTATCTTTAATTCTTTAAATGTCACTTTTCAATTATAGTTGACATTTAATATTATTTTATAAGAGTTTCAGGTGCGCAGCATAGTGGTTAGACACTCATATAATTTACAAAGTGATAACCCCAATAATTCTAGTATGCATCTGGCACGGTACGTAATTATAATATTACTGATTATATCCCGTATGCTGTAGTTCTCCGTTTGTTTCTTTGGTGGTGTCAAATTCCCCTGATTCTCCATGATCTTTGTAGTTTTGCATTGGTGTCTGCACATCTTAAGAAGCAGATAGCTTGCATAGTCTTTACAGACTAGCTTTGGCAAAGAAAGCCCTTCACCAGTCAGCCTGGCCAGAGGTTCTGGCTGGGCCAGCAGGTGGGTACTGTTACTGGGGTGCTAAGACCTATTGAGACCTGTGCAGAGGTCTTTGTTCTGAGCTATTGTGAGATGATTCCCTCAGTGTTCCGGCTGAGGCATGAAAAAAGTGATTCTCTTGGTAGCACCCTGAAAGGCTGGGGATGTCAGACCCTCACTTTTCTTTTTTTCTTTTCCTCAGGGGGAATTCGTAGGGGTGTCGAACTCAATCAGAGAAGGGGCCAAAATCTAAAATCCAGCCTAAATCGCGGGCCGAATGGTTTACTGAACAGTCATAAACTGTCATTGTGATGGAAACGCAGCAGAGTGCAGTGATGACAGCGCGGTGCGGGCCACATTGCAAGGCCTGGCGGGACGGATTTGGCCCGCAGGCCTTGTGTTTGACACATGTGGTCTAGGGGATCTTTCTCAGCATTGTTCTGTGTTGTCTTGGGGAAGGAAGGACATGGGTAAAATGAAACTGTTATTACCCCTTCAATGCATCTTTTCTCATTTCTATGTTCTACCAAGGTGCTATAACCTCTCACCTGGATTCTGTAAGGCATGTTTCATTTCTTAATTAACACAATAGAGTAAGCCTGGTGAACTGAATAAATAGCTAAATCAAAAGACCAAGCCTCTAAATGCAGTACTGCCAATAACCAGCTATCCAAGTGGCCCTATTAACTCTTATAGGCCTGTTTCTCTAATGGCATAACAAGGGAACTGGAACAGACGATCACCGAAGTTGAGACCACTCTGTCAAAATTCCAAGCTAGCAATGCTAATCGTCTACTAGAGTTCTTTACTGACAGTAAAACACAAGCACAAATCCAATTTTCCTTAATCTGCTTATCCAACAATATAATGAAGATGATAAGACAAACTACCAGAAAATTCCTTCCGATGTCAAATGATAATTTAATCTAAAAATTTACAGTCATGTTTGGGGAGCTCATTTAGCTGTAGCCAGTTCTGTACACCAAAAGACTGTGGGTTCAATTTCTGTTCAAGGTATACATCAAGGTTTGGGTTCAGTCCTCAGTGGGGATGTGTATAGGAGACAGCTGATCAATGTTTTTCTCTCACACTGATGTTTCTCTCTCATATCAATGTTTCTTTCTCCAAAAATAAAAAATATATATGTCCTCAGGTAAGGAAAATACATACATACATACATACATACATACCATTACAGAGTAAGTGCAATGAATTTATTGCAATGCTGGGGCATCAATATCTATTTTAGAGAACACTTTTAAATATGTTTTTATTGATTTTTTTACAGAGAGGAAGAGAGAGGGAGAGTTAGAAACATCAATGAGAGAAAATCATCGATCAGTTGCCTCTTGCACACCCATTACTGGGGATGTGCCCGCAACTAAGGTACGTGCCCTTGACTGGAATCGAACCCGGGACCTTTCAGTCTGCAGGCTGACGCTCTATCCATTGAGCCAAACCGGTTTTGGCGAGAACACTCTTTTAAATGTATAGTCTTAAAATGACCCCTAAACTTCTTTTCCATTAATGACTGTTTATCCCTATGATCTCTTTTTGTTTTACTTTTTTAAATATATACCACCATAGTAGCTTCTGCAATTATAACTTTCAAATGAGAACCAGTCTGTAAATGGCAGCATCATTTAGCTGAAATGTTTAGCGAACTACAAAACTACCTGGCTAATTGATTATTTTGTACATTTATTGAAATATAGCCAAGCCTTCTCATTTTCAAACTGTCTATGGACAGTTCTTACTATAGTGGCAGGGTTAAATAGTTTTGACAGACCATAAGACCCAACAAGTCTTAGTTACCTTCAGGATATTGCAGAAAAAGTTTGCACATTCCTTACCTAAATAACATTTCAGTGAGTAACTATAGTTCTAGGAGATATTTCAATGTTTTAGTTATTTCTAAATCAAATTTTAGAGAAATGATACTCCCATTTCATTACACCCCAACCTTATACTATTCTTAGAAGCAAACACTTTAGACAGTTATCAGCCCAGTGGCAATCATGACAAAGTTATTTTTCACTGACACTTTATATTAAGACCAAGAGAACATTAGCTATATATATTAAGTAAGAGAAGAAAGAATGGCAAGGGCAAGAAGAATATTCTGAAGTAGAATAAAAATAACTGATGGATGTTGTGGAAACATTTCCATTTTAAAAAAATATATATATAAATGTAATTTTTAAAAATTCATGCATATGAAATTTACTCTGCAGCAACTTGAATGAAGGCTACACATATTACAGAACCAATAGTTCTTTCATTCTATTCTCACATGTTGGTAAAAGAAACAATAGTTTCTCAAATTACAAGAACTTAATGGTCCAACTCCTCACATTTGTGGAATAGCAAAACAGCCTACAGACAAAACAGAACTAAAATTCTTTGTAAAATTGGGGGATTTTCTTGATATGATGCACTGAACAAAATGTTAGTTCTGTACTATTCCTGAAACAAAGACCTAAAGTGAATCAGGACAAATCCAAATTGTTGAACACTAGACCAGAAACTTTTTTTTGTCTAGGCTAAAAGGATATTAGTGGTACAACTGGCAAAATCTGAAATTAGGGCTGCAGTTAAGTAAAGTAAAAATGTTAAATGCCTGATTTTGATCATTATAGTGTGGTTATGTATGCAGAGTTTTTAGTAGATAGACAATAAAGTAAACAGGGATAAAGGGATATCATGCCATCATTTTTGTACCTTATTCTTCAATGGTTCAGACAAAAATAATTATATATGTAAATGTGTATATATAAATATGAGCAAAGAAAAAGAATGATAAATAGGAGACAAAATGTTAATAACTAGGGGGTCTGAGGGAAATGTATATGGGAGTTCTTTGTACTATTATCACTTTGGTACAAATTTAAAATTACTTCTGAATAAAAGGTTAAAAAAAAACTGATGCAATTTTAGGAAATAAAATGTGATATGTTCAATACAAAATACTGAACAGTCAACCAACTCATGGAGATTAATTTATATATTTTTAAAAAGTTTTTATTATGGCAAATTTCACCCTCCAAAATTATTTTGAAGCAAATTCCATATATATAATTTTGAATCCTTTAAAAAATAAAAATAAGGAATCTTAAAAAGAAACCCAACAACTATACTTAAATAAATAAAAAAATCCCAATGCTATTGTCATATCTAAAAAAAATTAACATGAATTTATTCCTAAGTGAGAAATACACTGAAAATACTTGCCAAAATAAGCAGTTCAGTAATAGCTGTATTACTTATTCAGTCAGATTCTAAAATAAGTTTTACTGGATGTTTCAAAGGCCATTAGCATAAAAATGTGAAATCTGTGGCATAACAAAGAGAAGACAGCAGTTACTGCTAAATCCACCCTTACAGCTTGGACAGAAATGACTACAATAAAAAATGTTATTATTTCCTAGTGTCTCAAACACATATGTTAATATTGTGATCCTAAAAACAAATCTGCTCCATCATATCAGGAAGAACTTGAGTTTGAATGCTGTGCATTTAAAAGAACATCAAAATATCAACACTCCACTGAATGTACAAGTAACTTATTTCTTCTTTCTTTTTAAAGGTTGCAGCCAACCCAATATAGAATTCAGCATGTAGGCTCCTTTACTTTTGAGAGGAGGGAGGGGAATATATATATAATTTATACTCTTGTGTGATAAGAATTATTTTGAGGCAACAAGATTTTTAAATTATAAAATTACTAGATATCATAAAATTCAGGGAAATGAAAGGCCTTAAAGACTATGATTAGAAGGAAAAAAAATTGAGAAAGAGACCTTTTATAGTTAAAAATTTGTAACAGCCCTAACTGGTTTGGCTCAGTGGATGGAGCATCGGCCTGCAGACTGAAGGGTCCCAGGTTTGATTCTGGTCAAAGGCATGTATCTTGGTTGTGGGTACATCCCCAGTGGGGGGTGTGCAGGAGGCAGCTGATCAATGTTTCTAACTCTCTATCCCTTTCCCTTCCTCTCTAAAAAAAAAAAATCAAAAAAAAAAATCAGTAAAATATATTTTAAAAAATCAGTAAGGGCTTCTCTAAGTCTCATGCATCAATTAAATGTAAACAAGAAAATAGTTCTACAAAATAAATGAACAAACAAAATTTAAACAAACTCATAGAGAAAATGGACTGATGGTTGCCAGAGGGTAGTTGGGAGACTGGGTGAAAAAGGTGAAGGGATTAAGAAGTACAAATTGCTAGTTACAAAATAGTCAAGTACAGCATAGGGAATATAGTCAATAATATTGTTGCCCTGCTGGTATGGCTCAGTGGATTGAGCATCGTCCCATGGACCAGGAAGTCTTGGGTTCGATTTCCAGGCAGGACACATGCCCAGGTTGCTGCTCCATTCACAGTAGGAGATATGCAGGAGGCAGCTGATAGATGTCTCTCTCCTAGATGTTTCTCTCTCTCTCCCTCTCCCTTCCTCTTTATCTAAAAGCAATAAAAACATATTTAAAAAATGATATTGTAATAACTATACCAGGTGAGTACTGAAAATATTGGGGGAACACCTTGGGAAGTACATAATTGTCTAGCCACTATATTGCACACCTGAAACTAATACAAAATAATACTGAATGCAAATCGTAATGAAAAATTATTAAAAAAAAAAAAAAGCCATAGAATAAAATGGTTCTAATAAAAACAGAAAGTTGAGAATTCTTAGAATTAGCCGAAGCCGGTTTGGCTCAGTGGTAGAGCGTCGGTCTGTGGACTGAAAAGGTCCCGGGTTCGATTCCGGTCAAGGGCATGTACATTGGTTGCAGGCACGTCCCCGGTAGGGGGTGTGCAAGAGGCAGCTGGTCGATATTTCTCTCTCATTGACGTTTCTAGCTCTCTATCTCTCTCCCTTCCTCTCTGTAAAAAAATCAATAAAAAATATATATTTAAATAAGAATTCTTAGAATTAGTTGCTTATTCTTCTCATGGCCTGAGAGATTTTATAATAAATACCTTTAATCGTACTCATCACTAAGGATGTAATACTGAGCATTAACTTCAAAGTATTACCTTTTGTAAAGGATGGCACTGAGATAGCAACAGTGAGATAAACTAGATATTTATTTCTTTAAAAGTCAGATTAGCATTAGTAGGGAAAAAAACCAAAATACCTTAAAATACTTAACACAAAATATGTCTTTTATTTCTTTTCTACTGCCTAAACTATACCATTAGCCCAAACAGATTATAAATAAAATTGCTTTAAAAAAAACACTGGAAATATCTATGAAAGACAGACATAAAAATCCAAGTTAAGAGATTAAGCACAAAACATATAGAACAACTGCAGTTTAATTCAATAATACATATAAGGATCAAATTAATACCGGGATTCAAAACCATTAAGAAGGGAGATTATTAGCCTGGTCTACATGGTTGAGTATCCACCCATGAACCAGGAGGTCAAGGTTCGATTCTGGGTCAGGGCACATGCCCAGGTTGCAGGCTCAATCCCCAGTGGGGGGAATACAGGAGGCAGCTGATCAATGATTCTCTCTCATCATTGATATTTCTATCTCAGTATCTCCCTATCTCTCTTCCTTTTTGAAACCAGTAAAAATATATATTTAAAAAATGAAGGGACATAACTATATTTTAGTTTTTTTTCTACTTAACACTAATATAAGAAAGAGTACTTAATATTACATCATATTGTCTTAAAAACAGTTTAAAGGAAAAGTGTAAATATTTCTGTAGTGGGAAAACACAACATTGGTCTTATTATTAAACATTCATCCACACTAAAAGGAAAATACACATTTGAATATAATGAAAGTAACTTACTAGTTATACTCAGTAAGTGCCTGACCTATGAAGCTTGAAATTATATTTCATTAGTACTTGAAAATTTTTTTAAGACTAGCATGTAAGAATTTGATTCTATGACAATCATTTATTTCAATCTAAATACTAATTTGAATATGCTTTTTTTAAAAACAGTAAATCCAATTGCCAATTGAATACAATGCAAATCAGTTGGCACAAATGTGGTACAGCGAATCCCTACAAGGAGTCTAAGACTCTTTTCAGGAAGTGCATGAGAATAATAGTCATAGATGATTATAAATTTATTATTTTGCTTCATAAAAGATTAAAATAATGACCATCATTTTCTCTCAATAGTTTTCAAACATTATTCTATAGGTAATTCACATAGAACCAAAACATTATTACTTACATCGTCACTCTGCTGAGCTTCTTGCATTACAAACTCTCGGACCATGGATGGACTAAACTCTACTAGATAAGAAAATATATCTGTAGCAGCTGATCTGACTTGCAAATCATCCATGCCCTGATGAAAGGAAAATAGATTACTTAGAGACTGTAACAAATATTATGCTGGATTTTCCTTTTTCCCAAATCTATGTATACTTCCAACTTTTTAGATTTAATAGTACTGGAATCAAAATACCTAACCTGTCTATCCTTTTACAAATATTAAAAAAGTTTTAGATAGCTCAATGACTAGTTTCTGCCAGTTTTTTTCCACCACAAAATACATACTCAGAGAATTGAAAGTTAAGTATCAGCACAGGATTATAAAGCAACACTGTAACAAAAGGTTGGGTTTTTTGGGGGAGGTGGAGAGGGAAGAATTATTGATTTAATTATATGCAAAAATGTGAATGATGTCTCCTAGTTAAGTCTTTAAAACCTTGTAGAATCTGTCTTTGATCCTGGATTTGCCAGTTACTTTACAATTTAGTAACTGATTTCTCAATTATGATTTTCCTATTAGAGAATGCTTTTGCAAACACTTTGGGTATATTTACTCTTTTCCACAACCTAATTTTCTAAGGTAATGATTATGAATGCTTGTCCTCTTTCAACATGTGAAGAATACATGATTTAAGTTACAAAATCTTCAAGAGATTCTGAAAACATTCTATGACTCAGTAACTCTCAAAATGTGGTACAGTGAATCCCTACAAGGAGTCTAAGACTCTTTTCAGGAAGTGCTTGAGAATAAAATCCCCTCTAATCCTAGCAGCCCATTAAAAGTAATCCCTAATATGCAAATTAACTGTCACTCCATCACAAAGATGGCGGCATCCATAGCCACAAGATGGCAGCACCCAGTCCTCTCAGCCCCACAGTCCCCCAGTCCCAGGGGGGCAGCTGCTGAGAGCCGGCAGTGTGAGTAGTCTGGTGGAATGCTTGCTCTGATACCGTGGCAACAAGGCAAGTGTTCCGTGCCCAGCTGCAGATGGGCCTCTGGACAGCGGGTGTGGAGCGGCAAGGCCCCGCAGAGAGCTACTGGCACATGGATTTGTGCGCAGGCTGCTAGTTATTTTCATAATAATAAATAATACTAGGGTATTAATAGCCTCTTCACTCTCAGTCTATCACAAGTATCGGGTTTTCAAGAGGCTATACAACCTGTGGTAGCACAACAAATTAAATGCTGAAGTTACTATGAGACTCTTTTTTTTAAAATAAGCCAGACATTAAAGATATTGGTAAAAAATATGAAACAGGCCACGACCAGGTAGCTCATCTGGATATGCCAAGATTGTGGGTTTGATTGCTGGTCAAGGCACATGCAAGAATCAACTAATGACTACATAAATAACTGGAACAATGTATCGATGTTTCTCTCTCTCATCTCCTCCATCCCCCCTCAAATCAGTAAGTAATTTTTTTTTTTTCTGACTAACACAAACTTTATTTTTAGATCCAGATATAAACAATTTGAAACATATCTATCAAGATCCCATTTCAAATTATTGAATTTGAAAAATTCAGTTATTTCTCTAAAACAAAGAGTAAAACTAAAATAATTCATAGAAAATACTAGAGGTATACAAATTTATCAATTCTTTAAAAGAAAAAGAAATGCAGAATAACTAGAGAGAATCTCCCTATCCACTATACTTTCTCACGGAAAGTTATGGCTAGTGAGAATTCATTGTAAGCCAGATTGTACTGTATGTCCAGAGTATGGGATGGTACTAAGGATCACTTTTTTTTTTTTTTTTTTGCCCCCCTCCCTCCCTCCCACACATCCCCTCCCTCCCCAGAGTTTTGTGTCCATTGGTTGTACTTATATGCATGTATAAAAGTCCTTCGGTTAATCTATTATCTCCCCCAGATCTTCCTCCCCTCCCCGCTGTAATTTGACAGTCTACTTGTTGATATACTGTCTCTATATCTATCTTTTGGTTCATCAGTTTATAATGCTCTTTATTATCCACAAATGAGTGAGTAAATTTTTGAAAAATGTTTAAAAAAACATGAAAAAATGCCATTCTTTTCACTGAATATATTTTGTTTTGGAAATTTTTTTTTAAAGTTATTTATGTTAACATATAATTGGGTTGTTATTATTTTAAAATAAATTAACACTTAAAAAACTCTGTTTTAATTTTTCATGTAATAAATAGTAATGGATAAAACTAATAAGCAAAAGTATCAGAACCACTGCCCTAACCCCATATTGCAACATGAGCACCTTTGATTCAGTCTGCCCTCACTCTACTCAGTGGTCTAAAAAGGAAAGACATTTTATTTGTTTCTATGAAACATAATTAATATGGTTACAGAAGAGAAAGTCTTATATGGGATTTTTATTCACCTGAAGTCATATTATATGCAAGTAATTACATAGTAATATTATAAATTTAAGTTAATAAAAATCTGAAGATTGAAAACACTCATATAATTCACTATCAAGAGAAGCATAATTTAAATTATAAAATTCAATATGCATTACTATAATAAGTACTTTCCATCCATAATATAAATCTTTTACAAATCTCAATTTCAAAAACATGAAGAAAAAAATATGTATAATTACCATTACAATTTCAAGAGCAGGAAGAATGCCCAGCTTTGCCAAAGTTTTGAAAAATGCATCCCTGTTTTGAGGTTGTAATGTCTGAGAAAATGCACAAAACTCCTTGAAAAAATTAACCTGTAATGTTAGAAAGTACAGTGAAACTTTGAATACACACAAAAGTAAACTTAAGGCACACAGTAATGTGGTAATGTGATCAACACACCCTTCTCAAAGATTATCTTTTTAAGGTATTCTGATCCTCAGAACCTACATAGGACACATTAGAAGTCAGCAGCCCATTAAAAGTAAACCTTGCTTTGAACAATTACCTCTTTAAAAAAAAAACATTATGGTGTACAAAGGTTATATGTGGAGTCTGAGGAATGTATATACTTATATGTTATTCTCTATTCGTGACTAAGGTGTAAAAATGCCAAGTAAGGCGAATATTTTGAATTAGAGCAAACATTTTCACAGAAACCCAGTGGCTGGGTTTCCAGGGAGCCTCAAAAGTATTAAGTTTTAAGAATTGGAAAGGACATTACAGATTCCCTAGTCTAAAGGACTGATTTCTTAAATAAAAAAACTAACTAGGCTATTAATAAATAACTACACCAAAAGTGACTTGGCTGATTTTAAGTCAGCAATCCTTCATTACTTCTTAAAACCCATGTACCTCATTATAATGTTTGAAAAATTAACGAACTGCTGGTAAACAGCAATCACTATTTTCTTTCCCCAAGGCATTGTTTTTATCTCAAAAAAGTTATTATAAACACATTCATAAGAAAAAAATTTCCAAGAAGCAACTATTTATTATTCATCTACTTAAGAAGCAGTCCTCTTGTCACTTGTTTAAAAAGAAAAGCATCCCTATACTCTGAGTATCTATAACCAAGAAAATGGATGAGTTTGTAGTTCTGTCCTAACATAAACCACATATCTGATTTTGGAATTTGTAAGGGACACAGTTTCTCTCACGGAGAGGGGAACCCACAACAAAATATCCTAAGAAATTTCTAAAATATATAAAACAAAAAGTGTGAGAACAACTATTTATAGTATAATTTAAGTACATATATTTTATCTCATACTATAGTTATAAAAAATTTTCTCTTAACAAATTCAGTATCAAAAGCCTGCATGCCAAAAGAGTAAGTGCTCTTTAAGGGTTTGAATTTCAAGAATAAATTACCAATTCACGCCGTTTATCATCATCTGTAGCCTCATCTGTTAATTGTGCAAAAACTTCAGACAAAAACTTCTCATCTTCCTACATGAGAAAAAATATTAATTTTAAAATTAACATTAATTACTATGAAATATTAAAAGTATAAATTTTACTCATTTATATGATATATACAAATTATGTTTTAATTTTAAAAACTTGACTACACCATTCACTATTAGTTATATATACATTAATATTTCGTGTAACTAGAAATGTCAACGATAAAGAACTCTTTTGGAAAACAAAAATATTCTAGAAGTCATGCATAAACACTCATTTACTTTGACTTAAGGGCCTTTTAGCTCCCTTTTGGGGTCTATTTATTCTTAATTTAAACATAATTCAAACAAGTTTGAAGATCTTTAACCCATAGCAGATTAAAACTTCTTTTGTGTGTATGTGCTGCAGAATTTTAGTAATTAGTTTACAAGTAACATGAGATGAAAGAGGTTGAAAATCACTGGTATAGAGTCTAATCTTACATGTTCTGTTGTCTCCAAGTATACCATTAAACATCAAAACACTACAATAACTGCCTTTCATACTATTGAGAGGAAAAAGGTTGAAATGGCTGGTGTAGAGTCTTACTTGTAAGGCTACAACTAAATGAAAATACTATCATAACTGTTTTTCATTCAAACACATATTCTGTTTTTAGAATTAGATCAGGCTTTAAGAGATTACTTAGTCCAATTTTTTTTTTGCTGTTGTTTTTATTTTATTTTTTAATTTTAAAAATTTTTTATTTATTAAATTATTATCTGTGTATATATTTTAACATTGCCCCCCCCCCCCATACCCTCCCTCCCCAGAGTTTTGTGTCCATTAGTTGTACTTATATGCATGTATACAAGTCCTTCGGTTGATCTCTTATCTCCCCCAGATCTCCCTACTCTCCCTGGTGTAATTTTACAGTCTGCTTGTTGCTTTACTGTCTTTATATCTATCTTTTGGTTTGTCAGTTTATAATGTTTTTAATGTACATATGTTTTTAATGTACAAATGTACAATGTTATAATGTACAATAGCTAGAATCTGGAAATAGCCTAGGTGCCCGTCAGCAGATGATTGGATCAAAAAACTATGGTACATCTACACAATGGAATACTATGCTGCCATAAAAAAGAAGGAATTCTCATCATTTGCAGCAACCTGGATAGAACTAGAGAACATTATGCTGAGTGAAATAAGCCAGTCAATAAAAGAGAAATACCACATGGCCTCACTCATTTATGGACATTAAAAAACATTATAAACTGACAAACCTAGTCCAATTTTAAACTTCATAAGACTGAGTTACAGAGTGGATTTACCTGTGGATAACTAGCAACAGAGATAGATTTAGAATCCAAGTCTCTTGCATAATGAGATTTTTGTCATTCCCACCCAATAAAATGTACTACTACAGATAGGACTCAAATATTTCAATGTTTGAAACAAATCAAAGCCACACACACACACACACACACACACACACACACACATGAATGGGAAAAATCTAATACGTTACATTTAATATGTTAAATCCTATACTTGAGGCCAAAAACTTCTAAAACAAAATGAAGAGCCACACGTTTATCATCAGTTGTTTTTGAAAAGGTGTTGAAAGATTTTACATATCTAATTAGTAATTGGAATGAAAGGTTAAAAATTTCTTTCAGTGCTGAAATCTTGATATAGGCAAAAGTATGTCAAAAAGAATGAATCTCTGATTTTATTGGATTTGTTCTTAGCTCAACTCTTATCTATGTAATAGTGAAATTACATGTAACATGTTAAAATGTCAACATTTGAAAGAGCTGTCCTACAACTTATTCTAAAAAGGATCTTAATCTGTAGCTGTCTGTGTGGAAATAACCTCACTTTTTTGGCTTTTAGGAATTTAATTTGAAGACATTTTAGAGTGTATTTCTGAATTTTGGGCACAAGAGGTTTTGAACTAGAAAGGTTCAGGTGAACTAAAATATTATGCTTCTATCATGCTAAAGAAAATCTCAACATGTATTAGAGTACATACTAGGAACCAATGATCACACTAAATAATTTCAGTTAAATAACTTTAGTCTAGGACCGTGGTCAGCAAACCGTGGTTTGTGAGCCACATGCAGCTCTTTGGCTCCTTGAATGTGGCTCTTCCACAAAATACCACAGCCTGGGTAAGTCTATTTTGAAGAAGTGGCGTTAGAAGAAGTTTAAGTTTAAAAAAATTGGCTCTCAAAAGAAATTTCACATTCTAGAGAAAGACCAAGATGGCGGCGTAGGTGCCGCTCGCACAACAATTTAAAAAAATTAAAACTAATACAAAGGACATCCATCATCCAAAACCACGGGAAGGCTGGCTGAAAGAGGGGAGCGCAAGCACTGAAAAGCCGAGGAGCCTAGGTACCGAGGCACTCGAATCGGGCTGGTGGCGAATTGGGCTGGTGGTGGGCTACTTGGAGCGCCGCAAGGCTTTTCTTTCCAACCCGAAAGGAAACAAGCTCCCTATCACTTTGAAATCCAGTTTCTGGGGTCACATGGGGGACCCAGACGCCTATGGGAGAAGCTGGGCCATCGGGGCCTAAGTGAGGGTAACTTTTGCAGAGGTGCACACAGCAATCACTGTATACTGCAATGGATGGCAGGGAAGCGGGGACTTGGAAGCACAGGGCTGGGACAGCCATTGCTTTAGCCACGCCCCAACCTAGTGACGTCCTGAGGCCCCGTCCCACCCCCAGGCCCTGCCCCAGGCGCAGATTCTACAGACCAGCCCAGGCACCACAAAGCTACTTTTACATATGAATGGCCTGTATTGAGGCAGCTTAACCATATATAAACTGCAGCTCCAGCAAAACACACACACACACACACACACACACAAAACAAACAAACAAAAAACTCCCGCCAAGACCCAAGCAAAAAAGAGAAAACTGTAGTTAGCTCTTGAACTGAATCCCATTGGAGTTCCAGAAGCCAGTGTTCCTAGTGGTCAATTTCAACCACTCACACCCAAAAGTGACACATTCCGGAGACGGACTCAGTGAGCACCAAAGCCCCACTGAGACAAACAGTGTCTTCAGCGCAGCAGTTCTTCCTTTATAGACAGAGCGGGTCCTCACAGACAATTGGCCTGGAGGTCAATTCCTCCCAGAGTACCAACAGCAAACAAGGCTTAGTAATTATACCAAGACTTTGCACTCAGCCCACAAAGGGATATATCAAAAGCAACCACCCCAGGTGACTGGGGAAGCTGATAGGTCACTAATACACAAAGTCACTCCATCAACACAGGGAGGAGACACGAATGGGAGAGATGGAGGAAAGTAAACTACTGGATGACACAGAATTCAGAATCACATTTATAAGATTATTCAAGAATCTAAAAACCTTTGAGAAACTTGATGAGAAATCCAAGAAGCTTGATGAGACCTTCAAGGACCTTAAAGAGAATACTAAAAAAATGGAAAAGGATCAGTCAGAAATTAAGCATACAATCTCTGAAATAAAGAATATACAGAAACTCAACTATAGATCAACATACCCCAAGAATCAAACCAAAGATCTGGAATATAAGGAAGAAAAAATCACCCAACCAGAGAAGCAGAAAGAAAGAAGAATCCAAAAATGTGAAGATAGTGTAAGGAGCCTCCAGGACTGCTTAAAGCATACCAACATCCGGATTTTTGGGGTGCCAGAGAGGAGCGAGCAGGATATTGAAGGCTTAATGGAAGAAATAATGACAAAACTTTCCCTACCTGGTAAAAGAAATAGACTTACAAGTTCAGGAAGCATACAGAACCCCAAACAAGAGGAATCCAAAGAGGAACACACCAAGAAAGATCATAATTAAAATGCCAAGGGCAAAAGACAAAGAATCTTACAAGCAGCAAGAGAAAAACAGCTAGTTACCTATAAGGGAGTACCCATATGACTGTCAGCTGATTTCTCAACAGAAACTATGCAAGCCAGAAGGGAGTGGCAAGAAATATTCAAAATGAATATTTTGAATATTTTGAACAACAAGAACCTACAACCAAGATTACTCTACCCAGCAAAGCTATCATTCAGATTTGAAGGTCAGATAAAGAGCTTCACAGACAAGAAAAAGTTAAAGGAGTTCAGCAACACCAAACCAGGATTACATGAAATGCTGAGGGTATTCTTTAAGGAGAGGAAGAAGAAGAAGAAAATTAAAGGTAAAAATTATAAACAACAAAAAGACATAAAATACATACCTACCAACAAATGAATCTAAAAATCAAGTGAATAAAAAATCTGAAGAACAAAATGGACTGGTAAACATAATAGAATCAGGGACATAGAAAGGGATTGGACTAACAATTCTCAGGGGGAAGGGAGTCTGAGGGGTGAGGGAAGAGATTGGACAAAAATCTTACACCTATGGATGAAGACAGGGGCGGGGGTAAGGGCATGGGGTGAAGTTGGGAATCAGGTGGAGGGGAGCTATGCGGAAGAAGGGGGAAAAAGGAACACCTGTAATAAACTGAACAATAAAGATTAAAAAAAAAAAAGAAATTTCAATCATTGTACTGTTGATATTTGGCTCTGTTACACTACCTCATTTTGGTCCAGTTAGCTAAAATTCTTATGTTAACTTGCCTTATATAACTTATATAATAGCAGGTTAATACACATTTAAGAAGCTATAGATATGTACACCACAAAAAGGGTTATTTGGAAATTCCTACTACCAGGTCACAAAATTTTTACATGGAAATCTCAGAGGTGGGCTTAAGAAATAGCCTTTAAGAGGCCAATGGCCATAAGCTTAATTACCTTCTTCTCACATACTGTTGAAAATAGAATTCTGCATCATGGCTGATACATAAGAGATAATCAAGTGGTAAGCCCTAAACCCGTGGCTGGCAAACTGTGGCCTGCGAGCCACACGCGGCTCTTTGGCCCCTTGAGTGTGGCTCTTCCACAAAATACCAAAGCCTGGGTGAGTTTATCTTGAAGAAGTGGCGTTAGAAGAAGTTTAACTTTAAAAAATTTGGCTCTCAAAAGAAATGTCAATCATTGTACTGTTGATATTTGGCTCTGTTGACAAATGAGTTTGCCAACCACTGCCCTAAACAATAGGTAGTTTCCAGTATCTGGCTATTTTAGCAAATACGTCTCATGGAACAGAAATAAGTAACTTTCCTTTTTAAAGCTACATTTGATTTATATAATTATAGCCTTCACAAATAAACCTGTGACAAAATATATAAAATGACATATAAAATGTTATAAATATTTACAAATTAGTTTGCATAATTTCTTTTTAAAACACTGGTTTTGGTAATCAATGCTCTGAAGTTAAAAGCAATCATTTGAAAGATACACTTCAGCTTCTGTCACTGGGTCCTTTACATCAGCTATATTGACTGTGAATCTACTTCCTGACTTTTTTTCTATCAGGAAATGAAATGGCATCCTGAATTGTACAGTATGATTTTTCAAAATTAGTTCCATAGCCCTCGCTGGTTTGGCTCAGTAGATGGACCACTGGCCTGAGGACTGAAGGATCTTGGGTTCGATTCCTATTAAGGGTACATGTCAGGGTTTTGGGCTTGAATCCAAGTAGGGAGCATGCAGGAGGCAGCCAGCCGATCAGTGATTCTCTCTCATCATTGATGTTTCTATCTCTATCTCTATCTCTTTCTGTCTCTTCCCCTTTGGAAAAAAAAAAGGCAGGTCCCATGTATTGTAAATGAAGCGTAATGTGTAAGTCTAACTTCCCTTACACTTATTACTGCTGAATAACAAAAAACTGCTCAGTGAAAAAATGATCTGGAGAAGTAAATGTTACATGAAAGGTAAAGTAACAATAATAGAAAGGTGAATAATGGTTGGAAGTATCATAAAATGGAATCTCATTACTAAATACTAAGCCAGAGATTGTCTTTGGTCTCGGGACACTCCTAAACTCTTAAAAATTACTGAGGGGCCAAAAGAGTTTTTACTATGTGGGTCATGTTTATCAATTCCATACTTAAAACTGAGATATTTAAAAATATTAACTCATTTAAAAGCTATTATGTTTATATAAATATTATTTTTATGAGAACAAACTATATGGCCCCAAAATTTAAAAACTTAGAAAGAATGGCTGTTTTACATTTTTGCAAATCTTTTCATGTTTGCCTTAACAGAGGACAGCTCGATTCACATATATCTTCTTCAGCATTCTGCCTGCTGAGATGTTATTGTTTTGGTTAAAATATAATGAAGAAAATAGAGCCTTACACTAACATGAAGCTGGAAAAAGGAAAACCTCAGAGACCTGTCTAAAAGGGCTTCAGGGATCCTGAATAGTCCACGGGCCATATTTGAGAACCACTACACAAAGTATATAGGTGTTGCTCAATAAACTTAGTGACTCATAGGGAAATAACGAGAATTATATAGGAAACTGTGCATATAGCATACTATCACAAGTGAAGAAAACTCTTCAAAATCCTGTTTATTACATTGTTAGGATATAAAAGATTAACATGATAAGTATGGTGTAAAAATCCTAATTTTCAACTCAAGGAGACAGAATAAAATCAACCTCACATAGAAAATAATCTAATCATCATTTCCTGAAAATGAATATTTTTCAATCCTGGCTGCACTTTGTAATTATTTGGGCAGTTTTAAACACTCATACTTCTACATATCCCAATAATAACTAAGTCTCACAAAATGGAATAAAAGATGATTTAAAAATAGCTGCTCCTGTTTGGAATGATGAAAAAGTTCTGAAAATGGACAGAGGTACTTAATGTTAAGAATTGTACACATAATGGTTAAAATGGTGAATTTTATGTCATGTATATTCTACCACAATTTTTAAGAAGAAGAAAAAAGTTAAAAAAAACCCAGCTACATCATAGGACACTTAAAAATATAAAAAGGTCACATTAAGATTCTCCTTCAGAAAGCCATGAGATAAAATCAAAGGAATGAAGAGCAGGTTGAACTATTACTGAAACTAAACACCTGAAAACAAAATTATGATGAACACCTTAGTTTACTTACCTGCAACATGCTGACTATCTCAACTTTGTTGAAGAAAATAAAAGATGTAAGAGTAGAAAGAAAATTCTCTTCAAAAACAGATGGCGTTGGCAAAATGATGTCCTGAATATACTGTACCCTGTAAGTTTGATGTATTTTTTGCCTTAGTTCAGAGTCTGTTATTGGTATAACTTCCTTAAACTTTGCAGTTTTTGTCAGGAATTCTCTATGTCTTTTTGGCTGAGCCAGAGAAGGGTCGTATTCAAGGCATCCCACGACGTCCATGATACACTCATCAGAAAACATTACCTCAAACAGAGTTGCCTTATTTAGAAATAAGATTCCTCTAATAATTTCATACAAATGGTGTAAGCCTTCAGTGTTTTCTAGGTTCTCACAAGCTTGGAAGAGCTGCAGTAGTTTTTTAATATAGCCTTCATTTTCCAAGGCCAGAGCCAGCTTTTCCCTACGGATGGGTGAGGAGAGAACTGAGGTAACTAAGTCAGCAATCTCTTCAAGTTTATTGAGTTCACATGTGGGCAGGTCAATCAGATGACTAGTTTCAGGCATTTCTTCAAATCGTTCTTCTTCAGATTCATCAATGAGGTCCTGTGTGACTTCCACTGATGGATCTTTACCTTGAACCTGAAAATATCCAAATATAGCTGGTTACCTTAAAATATAAATGCATTCAAATTTTTGCAAATCATATTACTGACCATTGAACTTAAGTAAAAATAAACTATCTACTCCTAGTTAAGAAAAGTCTAGTGATTTTAAGCATACGTCAAATAAGAGAATCAGAAGATTCACACTCTTTCTTTGGCCACTTCATTACACTGTGTAGCACTATTACTGGGAAGACCTAGGGGGAAAAATGACTGCAGTCAGATGCATAAACTACCAAAAACCTTCAGTGATAAGAATCGCTAGAGAGAAAATCTGACATTAATGAAAATGATAACAGTCAAAAGAGACTAAGTGGGCTATCACAGTCGGCTAACACTTTATAGGAAAGTAGAGGCCCAGAGCACAAAATCTGTTCACGGGGTGGGGTCCCCCTCAGCCTGGCCTGGGCTCGCAGGTGATGCCTTAGCTGTCAGTCGGACATCTTTAGTGTTCCTGCTGCTGCACTTGCCAGCCCTGAGCCCAGTTTCTGGCTGAATGGCACTCCCTCTGTGGGAGCGCAGTGACTACTAGGGGGCAGCTTCTGCCGAGTCTGCCCCCTGGTTGTCAGTGTGCATCATAGCTTGTTCCACCTTCAGGCCGAAATTGGCTCTCTAACATCCTCCAAAGTGTTCTGGATTGCAAGAGGGTGCAGGCCAGGGAGGAATGCTGGAGATTGGCTGGGGGTAGGCGCAGGAGGGCTCCAGGGTGTGTCCAGTTAGACTTGCTAAGTCCTGATCAGCCAGATCCCAGCAGCAAGCTAACCTACCGGTTGGAGCATCTGCTCCCTGATGGTCAGTGCACATCACAGTGAGCAGATGAGAAGCCTTAGCATATTATGCTTTGATTGGTTGAAGAGCGGACCAGATGACTGGACACTTAGCATATTAGGCTTTTATTATAGAGGATGGTAGCTAAAATGAATGTTATGATTAATTTCAAATTCCAGTGACAGTTCACAGCAAACATTGCCCTAAGGAGACAAAACTATTATATGTAATGTGGGTGCAGCCACTGTGGAAAGCATATGGAGTTACCTCAAAATATAAAAAATAGAGCTGCTTTATGACCCAGCGATTCTACTTCTGGGATTAAATCCGAAGAAACCTGAACACTAATTTGAAAGAATATATGCATCCTTATGTTCACTGCAGCATTATTTATTATAGTCAAGATTTGGAAGCAGCCCAAGCGTCCATCAGTGGATGAGTGGATTAAAAAGCTGTGATACATTTATGCAATGGCACACTAATTGGCAGTAAAAAAGATGAAAATATTATCCTTTTTGATAGCATGAATAGACCTGAAGGGCATTGTGCTAGTGAAATGAGTCCATTAGAGAAAGAAAAATACCAAATGATTTCTTTTATAATCAGAATATAATTGAACAAAAATAAACAAACAAAATGGAAACAGACTTAACAGCTGTCAGAAGGGATAAGTGCTGCTGAGGCTGGGTGAAAAGGGTGAAGGGGGATCAAGCAAAAAAACCAAAAAGACAAACCAATAAAAAATTCATAGACATAGACAACAGTATGGTGATTACCAGAAAGAAAGAGGAATGAGGGGAAGTGGAGGCAAGTAGAAGGGGGTTAAACGGTAATGGAAGGAACCCGACTTGGGATGGTAGACACACAATATATCAATGATGTATTATAGAATTGTACACCTAAAAACCTACATAATTTTAGTAACAGACGTCACCCTAATAAATAAATTCAATAAAAAAGAAAAAAAGAAATAAGTGTAATGTGGAATCCTGAATGGGATCCTGGAACAGGAAAAGGATACTGGATTTTAAACTGAGGATATCTGAATAAAGAATGGGCTTTCGCTAATAATGGTATATGAATAATAATAATGAACAATAATAAATGCTTAGTTCATTGATTGTGACAAGTGTATCATACTAATGTAAGATGCTAATAACAGGAGAACCGGGGTGGTGATGTCAGGGAGGGGAGTACATAGAAACTCTACTTTCTGCTCATATTTTCTGTAAATCTGAATCTTTTAAAATAAAAACTTTATTTTAAAAAATTTCAATTATCTGAGAGTTACCACTTATCCTATATCATGTAAGTTCTTCACAAGCCGAAACCATGAGCACTTTCGATCATTAGTGTGTGGTACATAGTATTCATGAACATTAGGCAAATGGGTGATGAAATATATAAAATCTTAAAGCTTTAGAACATAAACATTTAATTTTTTGTTTGTTGTAGAAAGATCTTGACATTTTACAGGGCATTAAAATCTGAAGTAATAAAATTATAACTAAAAAAATTAAGTAAAAAATTTTGCTGTAAAATATAAAAGAAATTTCTATATTACCAAAATCTCAATGAAGATATTACCTCTCCACATTATAATATGCATCTTTTAGGTAAAAAAAAAAAAATTCAAGAAGGCATATAAATGTTAAGTTAAATATTATTCAAAGACCCTTACCTGACAAATTTTCTCCCAGATCTCATCACAGCCAGCTTTTTCCTGAAAACTTAGAGCCAGATCATAGTTTTCAGCTTCTGACCAAACGATTAACGTATCCTGTTTAAAAACAAAAACTTCTAGATCATCACACTTAAAAAGAAACAAAGTATAAAAAAGACAATAAAAAAGACAGGAAACAGCACAGCAATGACAAATACCGTCCCATAAGTGGAATTATGTACACTCAACTGAAATCATATAACTCTATTTTGTTACCAATTGAAACTTTAGTGATATACTGGCAATGAAATAGTAGCTTTGACACTAAAACGACATTGAGCAATATTGTAAAACAAAAAAAGACCGAAACAGATTAGCAGGCTCTAGCTCATGTTACCAAGATAATGTTTAATGGAAAGTCTAGCCATTCTTGGCTAAACTGTAAGTAGATATTCTAATCATCTACTTTCTATTGTTTCCAGAAAGTCAGCTGTTCCACTCACTAACCACCTACAAGTTTATTTTTCTCTTAAGCCAGTTGTCTTTATTAAAAACTAAGGTCTGGGTTTAAACTAAAACATAGATACATGTTTAAACACTAAAATCACTGCAACACTCAAATAAAACAAAAATTCTTTTAGGATACATAATGAAAGTTTAATATGGCTAAAACTGTGATTTTCAAAATATAAATATTTGAATTTATACCCTAATTAGCAAAAATATAATCTACAAAAACACCTTATTTAATAATTGTTCATATGACCTCCTACTAAAAAATATAAAATTGTGAGTCCCATATTAAAAAAGGCAAAGTCTTCAAAATAAAAACTTTTCAATATTTTGGTAGTCCTAACCAATAAATTAAAAAATATGCTTTAATTAACCCAGGCCTCAGGTGACTACCTATTCTGCTGTGTGATCAGGTAAAAAGAACAGGTGAAAATCAGTTTTCTAGCTTCTGCCTAGGAAGGGAAGAAGGGAAATTCTTGGAAGGGAAATTTGCCACCGGATTATAAAATTTTATTTAAAAACTCTCAGTGGCTCCTCCATCTACAGGAGAGGTTTTGGAATTTTTTTTTTTTTTAAACAAACCCAGTTGTTTTTTTTTAAACTCCTTTTACAAACAAAATGTACTAAAAATCTCCATGTTAAAAAAAAGATAAAAACTGCGCTAGTTAGGTTAAAGTACTAAGACAACTGCTCAGGGTCTATGTAGTTTACTCAGTCCCTGAGTTGTCTCAGATCCCTCTTCAAAACAGCTTCATGAACAGGGGTCTCCAAAAATTTTTTACCTGTGCTCAAATTACTTAGGTTATATACAGGAACAAAATATTAATATAGCAATACTTTTAAAATAGAAATAGAAAGGTTTACATAAAGATAAAATAAATAATACTTTTAAATGTTTGAATTATAATTTCTCTATACCATTAACATCTTAAGATTCAGTATACATTTAAGACTCAGTATACTCACAAATGACAACAGACACAAATCTGTATTTAACATCACCTTTTTAATAATTTTGAACTTTTGGGAGGGGTAACTTCTTGTAAGATCTATGTTATCACTGTTTCTTTTTGACTGAACAATACATTAAGAGTATAAATGTCAGTTTAATTATTACCTTGTTCACTTGCATTTTTTGTTACCAACCATTTTTAAGACACTTATTTCTTTTGTTAGGGTTACAGTTTAGTTTAAATTGAAAAATACCTGTAAACAGTTATTTACACAGGTAGGCTACAATAATTCATAATAGATAAAGAACGCTTTTCATGGAAATATTACTCTTCTCTCAGAAAACTGTATGTTTTTGACTCTTGACCATGTAACTTTATATTAAATATTTAGCAAAATAATTTCTGAAAATGGGTTTTCTTCTCAAATTCTAGTGCTTCAAACTATGCATTCCATTTTGGAAAAAATGAAATCCGAAACCCTTATTCCAGGCACCAAAGCCTTTTCAATTTTGGTTCTAATCTATCTTCTTAGAGAAAGTCCAGGTAAGCAGCAAAGTCTGAATTAAGGTTACCTGAAACTGAATCATATCATTTTTTTTTGTTTTGTTTTGTTCTTTCCTTCCAATTCCTAATGGAAACTTTTCCCCATAAGCTAGTCAAAATCCCTGAAACTAAATGGGATTTATATTCAGAATCCTTTCAATGCAAAAAGGATTGACTTTGGGAAATGCCTTCTTTGGGGGCAGATCTGGAGCGAAGCCCAAGAATCCTTATTTTTAACTAGGATCTGAGGTAATTCTTTGGATAAGTCAAATTTGAGAACCTGACCCAAGTGTATCTCTAGTTGATAAACTGAGGATAGGGAAGTGCCATCAGAGTAGTCACCTTTCAGCTCTATGTATCTACTCAAAAGGGTGACAAACCCCATTCTTCCTCCTGTTCCCCCTCTACATTGTTGTTGCATGAAAAAATTATTGGGAAGAAGCACTCTTTAGATTTATTTATTCCATGGGTTAGTGTAAAAGCTCTTATGTGAGCAGAGAGTTGGCACAGAATATATAAAACAGAATGAGAAGTGTCAGCCTATCTAAAAAGCATAGATAGAGCCAAGTTCAATTTTTCATAGTAAGGTCTGCTTTTCACCATTGTGTTTTGTGATATGTTTTTTGCTCATTTGTGTGGCACACAGCATTGGCCTTACTGTAAGATTATTATGAATATAGTTCTCTCACTGAATTTATGTGTCAGGTACTGTGCTGAAGCACTTTTCATACATTAATTCACAGCTATTCTACAATGCAGGTAATATCTCTATTTAAAAGATGAGATTCAGGGAAAATTTGCTCAAAATAACACAACTAGAAATTAAACCCACATTTCTATTTATATGCCACATGATAAATGTGATTAAATTCTAAAAACCCCCATAAAATTCTTAACAACTTTGCTTCCCAAGCTTCTCCCCGGTGGCACTGTTTATCTAGGCATCTCCCTAAACACATAGATAAGAAAAACCTGTCTCCATCTGATTCCCAGATTCCTCCTTGGTCCCACCACAAACCACCACCCAGAACACAACTCTACCTATCGCCTCACCCAATCCTTTAAAGCTAATCATTCACATTCTCTAGTCATGCAACTGATCTATAACTCAAAGTACAGAGTGAAGAATACTCATTACAAATTCATGCTGTCATTCAAAATTATAAAAATCTCATTCTCCCTTATATACTCACTAGTCCATTCCCTACAATAACTCTCAGGCTAAACCCCTAATTTTATTGTTTTGTTTTTCCAGTTAAGAGCTAGGTACAATAAATATATGATCATTTTCATCCAAACCTTCATCTCAGAGGGCATTCTACTAACCAAAACCTAGAATATTTGCAATCTTTCTCTTGCAGGATATGGAACAGCCATTTGTTGAATGAATGACTGTCCTTCCCTTACCAAAATTCTGTTCTTCCTTGGTGTGAAGACATTTTCCTGATTCTCTACTTTTTCTAATTGCTTCATCTTCCTCTTTACCGAATCTTCCTTCTTCCTCATCACCAAACACCTAATCCAGCAGTCTGCCCTGTCAATTCTATCTCCAATACATGTTTCAAATCCATCCATCCCTTTCCATCTTCACTGCCATCACTTCTAACCTGACCCAACATTATCTCTTGCTTAGACTATGCAGTGATCTCTCAACTAGTATCCCATCCCTCAATTCCTCAGATTGATGTTACTATTTTGGATCATGTCATTCCTTGAATGAAATGTTTAAATGGACTTTTAAAAAACCAAAGATAGTGACTAACCCATAGCATCACTCACCCAAGTATAACTGGCTGAATAAATTAATGTGGACAATTCGACAAGGCTCAGTCAGTTCTATTCTATGCTCTGAGCAAAGGCTGTCTTGCAGCTAAAAATATCATTTAATGATTTTCAAATTAGAATCTCCACCACAACAAACTCCTACTGTATTTCTAGTCCCGGGTGTTCTTTATAAGACTTTTCAATTTATTCTATAATCATTTTAAAGCCTAAATTAAAATTAAAAAAGCAAGGCACAGAAGTTTATGGCATGCTACTTATATGCCATATACTTATATGCCTATACATATATATTTTTTTTACATATGTATAGAACCTCTAAGAAACTATACAAGAAAATGGTAACACTGGTAGCTTCTAGCAAGGGAAACTGTATGGATGGAGTCCAGGATGGGAGACATTACCAAATACTGTCTGAATTTTTAATAATGTGAATGTATTATCCATTTAAAACAAGCCTCTAGCCAAATGATTAATGTAAACCTGCTTTCTTCTCAACTTCCCAGTTTCTGGGGGGAGCCATCATTTTCCTGGTTCCAAAATTCAAAAACCCTACCAGTAACTTTTGATTCATTCTTTTTCATCTATAACCATTCACCAAATCTTCCAGCACTTCCTTTAAAATATACTGGAGTTCTCATCCTTTCCCATTCCATTTACTACACTGAAAGACTTTCCCTTTTTTGTATCTGAATTATTGCAAAAGGTCTTGCTACCTAAAGCTCGTTTCCCTCCACACCCTCAATTCATTATTCATGACTTTGCCATACACCTTCTGAGACACAGTATCACTTTCTTCTTGTTGGGTCCCTACTCAAGAACCTATAATGGCTCCCTTTTGTTTAGTGAACCAAGCTCTCAAATAAGAAATCTAGGCTGCAAATAGGCTTAATACCTTTTGTTTTAGGTGTACTATTTCCTTCTCTATCACAGTTCCTATAGCAGATACTGTACACAACCAGAGTGAAGTTTTTCTTAATGATTCTAGCCAAAATCAATCTCTCCCTTCTAATTTTCTCTTTTTTTAAAATATATATTTTATTGATTTTGTACAGAGAGGGAGAGAGATAGAGTTAGAAACATCGATGAGAGAGAGTCATCAATCAGCTGCCTCTTGCACACCCCCTACTGGGGATATGCCCGCAACCAAGATACATGCCCTTGACCGGAATCGAACCCGGGACCTTTCAGTTCCCAAGCCAACGCTCTATCCATTGAGCCAAACCGGTTTCGGATCCCTTCTAATTTTCTATTGCCCAAGTCTGTGGAATACATTTGCTTTTCATATTTTGTGTTGGTATATACCTACTGTATAGTCATTAAACTTAGCCTGTGCCTTAGTTGCTGTATCTGTGAAATTCTTTAATCATCTTTCAATAGAGTTAAAACACTTTATCAGCTTATTATCATTCTGTAATTGTTTCACCTGTTAGGTCTTGACTCTCAATAAAACCAAGGATGAGAACTTATACCTTTCCTAAACCCAAATGAACACAAATTGTGTTACATAAGAGGTACATATCCCAATGACACTTTCAAGACCAGTGGGGCTGAGTCTACATGACTTAAAAAAAAATTGTTGGCATATGTACCAGGCACTTTATTATCCATTTAAAATAAGCTGTATGGTAATGCTCTTCCCTTTCCAGTGTGTATTGGCTCTTTTCAGGTAAGTATGTCTTCTCTTTCCCATTTACTACATCAGTATTGTCCACAGTATGCAAGAAAAGTAATGTGAATCATGATAGCCTACCGATATTTGAGTATGTAACATTCAACTAAACTCTAACTTATTTTGAACACACAATTCATTACTTAGCTCACTTTAGAACTATAATGTTAAAAAAATATTCCTCTCTGAATTTATTCAATGTATTTTAATATAGTAAAATATCCTATAAACTATGAATATATCATTCATTCAGTAGTTTTTTTAAGCTAAAATCCACTAATGATCAATATACTTCATATAAATTTTGGAAATAATAATTTTTAGAATAATTTACTGAATAACTTAAACGACGTTCTACAAAAGGTAGAACTTAGAAAAATAGCAATGTGTTTGGAAATTCCAATTTGTGTAACTTGGTAAAAAGTGCAAAAGGAACAAGACTTTGGTGAAAATATGAAAAATCGTTCAAAGCTTAGCATAACCTCTAAATGGCTCTTCGATTTATATTAAAAAAGTACACTCAATTTAAACAAAAATAAAGTGACCTCATTTACACAGGTTTATCATTATTACATTCAATTGTTATTGCCAAAGTTTTCTTAAACTTTAATGTTTTTAGTAAAAGTACCTCAATTAGAAAAAAATGTATAGTCCAGTAGTGTATTATCTGAATGTGATTAGCAGAAAACATTTTCCTAACAGCACAAAATCTTTTTTTTAATTAAAATTTTTTTCCCTCCAACACTTTAATTTTCTCGTAGTGTAACATTACAAACAAAACCATGTCCCAAAGTTTCTAAATACCACTGTATATTTTTGGACTAATGCTGGTGGACTATTTTATATACCAACCTCTGCCATAATGTGTTTTCCAATAGTAACAATAGCCAAAAGATCTTGAAAACAATTTGAGAAGAATTCATATTATAAGTAGTTTGTAGGGTGTCACATGTAAAACCACAGTTCCTGAGTATTTTATATTCACGGATAGGGGGGGAAAAAACAAAAACACAACCCCCCCCCCACACACAAAATTTTAGTATTTCTTTCCCCTCAAACAAGCAAGTAAACAAAAGACCTCGTAAGTGGCTATCTGGCAAAATTCAGGGCAAAGAGAGAGTAACCATCTGTCTGACTTAGAAATTAAATTAAATTTAGTGTGTTATACCTTAAAATGTTTAAGGTATAGGAAACATCTTCAAGTGTTCAAAACAGGACAAATGTTTGATTCTCCATCAGGAAGGATACATAATATTTCTAATTAGAGGGAAAAAACTCCTAAATTATTTAGTTTAAATGAATGTTGGAAACTAAAAAAATATTTCAAAGAACTAATTAAGAATATATTGCATACACAAAACAATTGTTTAACAGTAAGACTTTTACTAATAATGCATTGTGCAACAAACATAGTTTCATTCCTCCAACAGGAAGTATTTGTTTCTGGGTACTGAAATTTTCATTGGCCCTGAAGAAAGTAGGCATCGATGATGTAAATATCTTAACATAATTTATCTTTTCCTTCAAAAATCTCTGCCATATTCACTTTACATACCACACAAAAATAAAACTGGAAATAATCCAAATGTCTAACAATAGGTGTATACCATACATCAGAAACTGTACAGTGGTTTGTTTTTTAAACACACAACTAGATCTACATTAACATGAACAAATCTCCAAAATAACGTTGAATGAAAAATGAAAGTTGCAGAATACATGTAAGAATACGAGATCAATTGTATCAGTTTAAAAACACACAAAAGACTACATATTATTCATGGGTACATACATATGCAGAAAAGGTATAAAAGCATGTACAGAAATAATACACATCAACTTCAGAATAGTGTTTACCTACAGGGAAGATAGAGAATGGATAGAATGAGATGGGTACAAAGGGGGCTTTAACTCTACTCACAAAGTTGAAAATTACAAAAAGATTTGAAACAAATATGATGTTAACATTGTTCGATCTGGTGGTGTTACACAGAAACTCATTATATTATTCTCTATACTTTTCAATTTTGAAATCTTTCATAATAAAAATAAAAACATTCACAGAATAAAGAAAAAGTTGAATCACTGCTGCCATTCCAGATTAAATATTATAATTTGGTATGCTAAAACACAACACAGGTTTTCTTTTCCCAAATAAGACAATAAATATTAACAGAAAACATTATATAATTCACAATGTACACTTTTGCAAAAGTATCACTTATTCTTATATTAAAAAATACAATTAAAAAACAGGATTTCAATGCTTCTACTTCAAAACTCTATCTTTGCTTGAGTTAAAGGATCTAATTTCACACTACAAACAGGCTTTCCTTGCTTTCAAGAGTACCCCTTTGAATGTTCTTGTATGCCACTTCCTTTAACTGTGGTTGGGAATAAAAGGCTTAGTATACAGGGTATAGCAGAGACCTGGCTAACTAAGTTAAATAAGACCAATGAATACATTGTATTCAAATATAAACAAACAGTGGCTCAATTCAAAGATAATAAATTATTTCCAGTACATAAACTTTCACTTTTCAGTTTGAGACTTTTAACCTGTAAGGGAAATATATATGGTCTGTTACTTTGTTTACCAAACATTTTTTCTTGTCAGGAAAGCTTTCCCATTTTTGTCAGATTAATACTTCCTTGATCACAGATGAAGTCTTTCAAATTAAAGATAAACAACTACTTGCCTGTTGTTTCTGATACGCAGTGTTTGGATTTATCTTTGATTCCAAAAGTAGTGATCCTGAAAAGATAAAAAAAAATAATAACATAAGTGTCAATTTATAAAACCTGAATAAAAAAAAATCCACATTAAAAAAAAAAAATCATCTCATGTTCCCTTCACTCAACTAGATAGCTTAAGTAATCAAATGTACTCTAATTCACATTTTCCTCTCCAGATCTGAATTTCACATTTAATTTACAACATATCACCCTATTCCAAGAAACCCTTAAATTGGGGGGGAAAGAATCCACCTAAGACAAACATTCAGACCAAGAAGAAAAGGATGTTAATACTTTAAACAATAACGAATTTAAAACAAATAAATAAAAGACTATAAGGAGACTTAATGACTATTAAAAGTTTTATTGAAACAAAATCTTAAGGTCTAAATGACCACTTGAAGCCGAATTCTTTTTTTTAACAGTTATTTTATTGCATTTCCAGTTTAACAAGTAAAACAAAGTACAAAGGACCACAACAAAGTACACAAGTTACAGAACTGCTTTTCTCCTTTTCTCCTTTAAGAACAAAAGGACACACTGCATGTAGAAATAAACATCCATGACTATTTCAAGAAAAAGTACAAGAGTACAAGATACATTTGTACAAGTACAAATCTAATGTTTCTACCGTCTGCACGTAGTTCCCAGATTACAACGAGAAAGGTGCTTTCAACGCGACTGTACATTTCACGATCGAAGAACACTCGCCACAGGACTCGTACAATAAATAAGGCGACGAATACGTGTTTACTCTCTGCTCGGGCGCCCCGACTTGCTCGGGCTGTGAAGAATGTACAGTCCCCCCTCCTCCCCGGCCCCCCCAAGCCACCCGGGGGGACCCCGCCGGCGGAGGGAGGCGCCCGTGCGTGCGGGTACCGTGGCAACAGACGGCAACAAGCCCAGGCTTCCCAAGGTGCCTGCTGGGCCCCCAGCACCTGTCTGTCCACAGCGGCAACTGGGGGCTCCGGTGGAGACGTCCGTTCAAGAACAAAGACTCAAAGTTCCACAGAACCTTGTGCATCAGACACGGACGAAGATAAAAATGAAAAGAGGAGGGAGCACGGGGTCCCCGGGGAGTAGGGATCAATACCTTGTCTCTGCGAGCTTCCTCCCCTCTTCCAACACGTTCCCCCCTCTTCCAAAAAGAAGAGACTGGAGAGGAAGGGGTCAAAAGCCTTACCGGGACGGGAGGCGGGGGAGCAGAGGGTACATGCGGACAGAGTAGTTTGTTGTGACCGTCCAGAAAGTGCAGACACAAAACCAAGGCGGCTGTGGGTGCGAGGCGGGCGGCGGTGCCAGCACCCCGCCTCCGGCCCAGGCCGCGGGGCTGAGCCCGGCCTGGAAGCATCCCTCCCCGCTAGCCTACCGTCCCAATAACCTTACCGTCCGACTCCGCCCGAACCAGCAGCGACATCCCCTTGAGCTCCTCCACGTACGTGGACGAGACGTGCCCAGTGCCTCGGTCGTCCCATTGCCGGTCTTCATTCAGGGTATAGACCTTCACTCGCCGCCGCGTATCCGACATCGTGGCCGCTGTTCCCACCGGTCCAGACGCGGCCGCCTCCACGTCCCCCTCGTCCTCGCCCCTCCTCACTCTTGAGAAACAGTAGCGGCGGCGGCGGCGGCTCCGGCTCCGGAGAGGCCCAAGTCCACCATGGCTCTCAAGGTTCAGCCGCGGGAAGGGGCCACAAGAGCCCACCGGGGCCTCTCGGCCGGACCCCCGGGACCTCTCACTTTATCCACACACACACCCACCCTCCCCTCCCTTTGCCCCCCGGAGCTCGCACGCTCTCCCGCCGCCGCCGCGGTAAACTCCTACACATCCGCCATCTTGTAACCCGATTCTCCCTGCCTTTCTCTTCCTCCTCCAGCAGGCTCGCACGGGCTGTCCTAGCAGGGGCTACGGCGGCCGACGAGGCTTACGCGCCGTCGCTCAGCTTCCGCTCGCGCTTCCAGGGCCCGCAGTACGCGGCGTTCTCGCGAGGAGGAGGGGTGCTGAAGTGAGGGGGGGGAGGGCCTGAGTGCGCGTTCTTCCTTTCTTGGCCACGCCTACGGGCGCGGGATCTCGGCTCGGGGTAGTGGTTCTCGCGATATCCCCGGCCCTCGGCTGGTAACGCGAGACATCATGAGTAGGCGGGGAGAAGTGAGGCTTAGTCTCGATTCGTCCGTTTTGCACGCGGCGTGTGACGAATCGTGCGACCCTTCCTCTGAGGAAAAGCAAAGCGAACATGGGAGGTATGCATCCTAGGGCGGGACTAACCCACCCTGAGCAAAAAGGGAGGAGGTGTGCTCGCTCTCCCGTTGTGGAAGCTCATTCAGTCAGCCACGGGAGAAAAAGAATTGAAACCTCTTTCTTCTGTGAAAATGTAGGAACGTGGAGTCTTTTGTAAGGCAATCTGAAAACCAGATGGGAGTCTGTTACAGTTCAGCATCTCCTCAGGAAGTGTTTGTTTTCTGCATCCCCTGACGATTATAACGAACCGAAAAAGAAAAAAAAGGTGTTGACAATTTCCTATTTCCCGCCAAAGCGTTTCGCCGTTAGCTTTGGTCGCTGGCCGTTGGAAAGCATGTTTTCCGCTTCATGAAAATACAGCCCCCTTATTGTGGTGTAACCTCAGAAAATAAGCCTTGAGAGAGGTTTAGGGAACGGGTTGAGGTTTAGGTACCGTGCTGTTGCCACGGTACCCGCACGCCCCCTTTTTAACACACCCCAGAGCATGGTTTTGACTTTTTTTTTTTAAAGTTTCTCTTGTGGGCATTTCTTGTGCTATCTATCGGGATGTCTAGTGCACTGAATAAGCGAAGGAGGAATTCTCGGGGCATTCACGTTGGTTGTCAAACATTGGTCGCGGAAAGACGCGCACTGCGCAGTTGTTTGTTTTAATCCCCGTTCGTTTTTGGTAGAATCCTTTTATTTCTTTATGACAGTTTCACCTCGCTCTGCCGCTAGTTCTCCATAATCCACAGGCTTGAAATGTGAAAATCAGTCGAGTTGCACGTGTTGACCCTGCAGGGCATTCTGGGAATTGTAGTCATTACTTAACGGTCTTGTCAGAACGTGCTTTTGTTTTGACTGGCTCCTCCGTGTGGACACCCTTCAGAGGCGCTTTAAAACGAGAGCAGGCGCCTGATTAAAAAATAATCGTAATATGAAAATCTGGATACACAAGGTGGTTTTTTAAATTTACAGAGGACCTCGGAACCCACTAATTGCTACGTTGATACGGGACAAAAAAGGCATTTTAAACTCCGAGAAAAATATTTCTTTCTTGGGTCAGAGCAAGCTTCACGTAGATAACTTTGAGCCTGATGTTAGAGGATGCCTGAGTGGGAGTTTAGTTTGCAAAGGTGTTCAAGGCTGAGGGGATAATGTGTTACTGGCCTAAAATAACTTTTATAAACTTATATATGTCAAAGGAATGAGAACTATACAGAAGTCACTTTATGTGTTAAGAGGTTAATAGCCTCTGGACAAAATTGGGAAATAATATGAATCATTTTCTCAATTTATTCAGTCATTCAGTAAATATTTGTTGAGCTATGCTATAAGCGTGGATATTGGTCTATATAGTGAATAAACTAGAAAAAGCTCCTCTTTTCATGGAGCTTATATTCTAGTGTAAGAAGACAAACAAATATATGCCAGGTACTGATAAACATTATGACCAAAAATAGAGTAATAAAAAGGTTAGAGAGTGAATTTGGAAAGGGTAAAGTGTTTATTCAGTAAGTCCTCGGAGGAAGGCAATGGACCAAGCTTTTCCCTAGGGAGAGGAGATATATATATATATCTCCTTTATATATATATATCCTTTATATATATAAAGAATTGCCATATATATATATATATATATATATATATATATATATATATATCCAGGAATCAAGTACAAAGGCCTTGTGGCTGTTGCATGTTGAATGAGTAAGTGGGATAGCAAGGAAACCAGTGTGACTGAAGTGGGGCAGAAAAGGGGAGAAATGGGGAAAAATAAGGTTGGAGTTGGGACAGGGGGATATTTTGCAGGGCCTTGGATTTTACTTTGAATGAGTTGAAAATCTCTTGGAGAGTTTTGAATTAAGTTTCAAAGCAACTCTCCCATCTTCTCTTTAGAATTTCTTTTCTGGTATAGCCCCTGAGATCTGGTGACTGAGAAATAAAGGAGCAGATTAAACCCCTGGACTCATCTCTACCCCTTACTAGATTCTCAAGTACAAGCACTGCAGTAGGTAAAAGGAATTCACTCTCACCTACTGCAGTAGGCCCATCTTACATTTGTAGAGATTGACATTTGCAAGGCCAGGGCAAGTATACAAATGGAAGACCATATATCATAAGTCTAAATATTTTTAAGTTTTAAATCAAGCAAACAAACTGTTGAAATATATTTTCTCCAACCTTTGGTATACTTTGAAAATCTATTTTCATAATGACCAGGAAGCCAGAGTCAAATATAGAATTCTTTTTTTTAATATATATTTTATTGATTTTATACAGAAAGGAAGAGAGAGAGATAGTTAGAAACATCGATGAGAGAGTCATCGATCAGCTGCCTCTTGCACACCCCCTACTGGGGATATGCCTGCAACCAAGATACATGCCCTTGACCGGAATCGAACCCGGGACCCTTCAGTCCCCAAGCCGACGCTCTATCCATTGAGCCAAACTGGTCCTGGCCAAATATAGAATTCTTGATTTCCTTAAGTTCCAGAGTCTCCCTCTGGGCCCATCTAGTCTGCCATCCTTCTCTTCTCATACCTCAGCTCTGTCCTGCAGTTTGACAGTTCTTAATTGCACACATAGGATACCCCAGCTGTTTGCCCAAGCTCTGTCTACATTTCCTGAATATAGTCAATCCCCCCCTTGGCCACTCTTAAGGAAGATAGGATTTGGGAAGAAGACTGCGTATACCTTGGAAGCAGGCTTGGCCTTTGAGGTGGACACATCCTTTGGTTCCATGAACTTAATCACCCTCAGGGGAGAAGCATGGACAGAGAGCCAGAACAGATCCTTCTAAAACACAGGGACCAGTGGTTACTTGGGTCTGAGGGCAATATTGCACTGAAACAATGTTTTTTCTTGGAAAGGTTATTTTCTTCAGTCATCAAAGTTCTACTCCAAGGATAAAGATATATTTATATAATTTACATATATTCTTATATAATAAAAAGTTGATATGCTAAATGTCTAGTCGTCCATTCAACCAATCAAAGCATAATGTGCTAATGATATGCTAAGGCCACTCAACTGCTTGCTATGACGTGCACTGACCACCAGGGGACAGTCGATCGGTTGACCAGTCACTATGACATGTACTGACCACCAAGGGGCAGATGCTTGCTGCTGGGGTCTGGCCAATTGGGACTGAGCAATACGGGTGGACATGCCCTGGATCCCTCTCTATCTCTGATTGTGCACCTGTGGGGTCCCTTGGCTGGCCTGTGCCCTCTTGCAAACCTGGACCAGTTGGAGGATGTTGGAGAGCTGCTTTCAGCTCCAGCCCAATCCCACAGGCCAGGCTGAGGGACCACACTGGTGCACAAATTCGTACATGGGGCCTCTAGTGTTTATGTATTTACTAGAGGCCCGTTGCAGGAAGATTCATGCAATGGGCCTTCTCTTGGCTGCTGGCACCGGGTGCTGGAGGAAAACCAGTGCTGGAAGCCAAGGGAAGGAAGGCCTATTGCATGAATCTCTTAATGCAACGGGCCTCTAGTAATTATATAAACAGCCTCTATATCTGTTTCAAGCATTAACTGAAAATCATGATTCCTCCAGCTCTTATATCAAGAACATCCATGTACACACAATCAAAATGTGACCTCTATTTGATGAGTAAATGCTTTTTCTGTATTTCCTAAATATTTTCTAAATTTGAAAAATGTACTGCCTCATTTTAGATTCCCACTTATAATATTTACTCCACTATGTTCATGGTTTTGCAGCCAGTTAGAAGGGCAATATATCATTAAAAACAGCTCAAAGTAACTACCTCAACTCCAAAGTCACTACCTCAACTCCTTACTATATTTGTTAACTATACTAAGGAAATAGGTATGAGCTCTGAATATGGCAAGTTCTAGTTTGTAAAATATTTGTAAGAAAGTCAAGTGGGCAAAAAGGTGAGCCACAAGATGACCAAGAATAAATAGGAAGAAATCCATGATAGTACCAAATGTAATCTATTATTTATAAGTTTTTCAGATATTTGAGAATTACAGGAAGTAAAGGTTAGTTATCTTTTCTAAGGTACTAGGGGACCAGTGCACAAATTTGTGCACCTTGAAAGGAACTGTGGGCCCTGAGGCTGTGGTGGGCACAGGGGTGGGCTCTCTGCCCATCCTTTGAGCCCCTGCCAAGCCTCTCCAATTGTTCCTCCTTGTCTCCTGTCTGCCAGAAGCCCCGCTCCCAGTGCCACCACTTCCACACACTGATGGCACAGGCCCCGCTCACACTTGCTGACAGTGTGGAGACGTTGGGGCTGGCAACAGCAACAGGTGTGAGTGGGGCCGGGGCCAGCGCCACAGCAGGTATGAGCACCAGGCAGGACTGTGGCATGCAGGAGCTAAGAATTTCAGTAACCACCAGAGGCTCGCCTTGATGACAGCAACTGGAGCCAGGTCTTGGTCTGGGGCCCCTGCTTACCTGCTCCATCATCCGGCTGCAGCGGACACCCGTCACATTCCATGCTCTGTGGCCTGTTGTCAATGCCCACCATGTTCCATGTATGCTCCCAGGTACTCAGCACACGCCATAGCGACCTATTGTTCAGTTCTACCATTTAGTCTATTTGCATATTAGAGTTTTATATATATATAGATATGTATGAATGGTTTACTTAAAAAAAAATTTATTTCTAGAAAGAGGAAGGGAGGGAGAGAGAAACATGGGTTGCTCCTGCTCATGCCCTGACTGGGGATTGAACAAGCAATCTGAATTTTCGCTTTGACTGGAACCGAACCTGCTACTTTTTGGTGTACA